TGATGCAAACCCATGCCACAAAACATTACGAAGGTTCAGACCATGTGGAGATCCAATGAATACCCTCAGTACATTCATCTAATTAATAAACAAAGCAGTTACTGCATGAAGAAATCTATTTATTTTTCCCTTTCTTACCCTTACTTTTATTACCTTTCTCTGGCAGAAAAGTTCAGAAATTATTTAGAAGCTACAATGCCTACTGTCAAGATGACAGGCCACCACTTGTTACAGTAACAGAAACTCATTATTTGCAATTCCCAGTATTCTCTGAATGAGAATATTTCAGCTAATTTGTACAGGATATAGAATATAATATGGGAAGAATCAAATTAGTTATTAGACATCCCAAACAGTTATGACAGGCAAACAAATTAAATCAAGTTTAGCTCTTACTTCTCGTAGTATAAATCCAGGGTAATTTAATGCAAATTAACACAAGGTACATTTGGTAGAAAGAAAACCAGCTCAGTAGTTATTCCTTACTTCAAAACTAAGCACTTACTACAGCTTGTCCAAACACATCTGCAAGCTGCTCAGATGCAAGCAAGTCCCTTAGAAGGAAAGGACAATCGTTACCCTTAAGGAAATACACCTATTAAGACAAAAGAGCAGAACAGATAATAAACAATTTAGTATACTTCTTTGTATTTCAAACATATACCTTGACTACTTTACCCAAGAGCCATTTTCATTATTGTAAAAACACTAATCAAACAAAACCCACCAAATCCTTAAAAAGGCTTTAAATTCTGTAATTGCATGACAAATTAAAATTTAGACAATATATCAGCAAAGAGTGGATATTTTACTTTATGTGACCATAGTTAGACTTTTCACAGGGTCTCTACATATACTGCTTTTCTCTTCCAAAAAATCCCACAAAAACCAATAAGGCACAACAAGAACATGTAACTAAGGGAATAAGCTCTACCAAGGACAGTGTATTTTGTTCTTAAAATAGAACAAAAGGGTTCTGTCATTGTGAAAGGGAGGAGACTTGTGGTTCATCTTCTGATTTAGACTGTTCTTGAAACTAGATTTTATCTTTGCTGGACAATCTTAGCATCTCAAGATTCACCTGCTATCACACCTTCCATTCTTTGTACTGTCCCTGACATTTTTTTTCCACTCTTTGGTGATTTACTGCAAAACTTACTACACCCCACACTTGGGAAAATTGGTTTGCAAGTTAGCCCATTGCTCCTTCTCTGTCATTTCCTTCTCCAGAGCTTCTCATAGATACTGAACAACCAGCCGTTTTAACTTACCTGGCTGTAAAACAACCCAGCAACAGAAGTTGCTTAAGTAGCTGCTTCTCCTTTCTCCCTAGAAAACAAGTTACCCAGCAGCCCATTTTCCCAGCTGCATGCCATCCCTCACAATTCATACACCATCAGATCTTCTGTGGAAGCTATGCTGGCCCACTTCAGTTAAATAAATCAAACTAATAAAGACCTACTATATGTACACTGATTAATCAAACTCTTCTCTTTCCTAATTAAATCAGCTAGTAACAGCACTCACACAAGCAACTCTACAAGCACTGGTGAAAGAGCCCAACATATGTCTCCACTAGCACAACTGGATCCAGGAAAGAACCTCTGTCCAACTCAAAATGGATGTGGGCTATTAGTGTATTACTAGAGTACAGGGTAATATCACTTTTTTCAATGCACAATTAAATCCAAGAGCTCATTCCCATTTTATAAAGCCAAACCTGTGGTAGACTCCTCATGCTGGCACTTACATCACCCAAGGCTCTCTCCAAGCATGATGTTAGTTTCATTAAGCCAAGAGCAACTTCTGTAGCTTGTATATCTTGTAAAACATCAAACACTTCAAGAAATACCTGCATGATGGGGGAGAGGAAGAATGTTGTGTTCAATATTCAAAACGAAAGATCACATTGCCAAAAGCACAAAGAAACCTAAATATTCCTCCGTGATAGCTGCTATGCAAATGTAGAAAGAAAACCATGCCAAAGAAATGAAAGTGTAGATGCCTGGATAGAAATTTCCTTAGAGTACCTCTTGATATCTAGTGCCTTACATCTTTAAAATTATCTATAATAACTTTACAAGGTAAAACTTCATAGTAGGTACAGATTATTAGAAAAACAAAATCCTACAAACTAATATTACATCAGGCCCAAAGCTTCTCCTGTTGTCTAATACAAAATCTAATTACAAAGTCAGAAAAATTACAAGCAACCGTCTATCAGAGGAAGACAATTAATTACAAATTCTAAGCATTTTGGTTCATGGATATCTCTTCTGTGTTCTCACACCAAACTTCCACAAAGGGTTCAGGTGCCAAAATACGAACTGTTAACAGAAATTTCCGTACCTCTGTACAGTTTGTCCAGTGGAACCATGATGCATACTGAATTACAAATTGTTCCTTGGTCAGAGATTTGAAATACAAATTAACAGATTCACATACAGGTCCTAATGATCGTATGCTGTTGATATAATCCATGCTTTGATCTTAAATTGAAAAACAGAAGGTGATTAGGCTACTAATCTTCCTGAAGGTCTAATATTTTAAAACTCACTAGGGGTAAAACCTACTACAGTTTGTTTACATATTTAGCACAGACAATTTCATCCTGACTATTTTAGCACAAGCAATACAATACAATTTACTGTCCAAAACACCACACAGAAAAGGTATTGAAAAGTAAAACTGCAATAAAAAAACAGGTAAGATCAAGCACCTTCTCCAAACAGAACAAAAAACAAATCAAAAATTCTACCCCTTGACTTGTAACTTGACACAAGAAAATATGGAAGTAAATAGGATCATTATGTTCTGCTTTTGTTGAAATGTGAAGAACACACTAGAATTTCTGTAGAAATTCCATATATCAAGCTGGAAGCTAGTGGAAGCTCAGCAGGAGTCAAATGGCACCATTTAATGCCTTTAAAGGAGGCAGATGGATGTGGTACCTTACAGAGTGGTATCACTGCTTCTTTTTTGTGGGACACTTTTAACAGGAAAATAAATTCTTCTGGTTTTCTGAAAGATATTTTTACCACCTCTGGAAATTAATAACAGAGCCTGCATAATGCAATTTGGTAAACTAAAATTCAATGAATTCACCAGGTCATAAATACTTTGTTTTGGTTAAAAAACAGCTACAAACTATTATACTTAGAAGGGAAACAAGACTGTTCTTCAGCTGGGAAACACAAAGAGAAGCAACAGCAGCAATATTGATGGCAAAAGGAATATAATAACACAGAACAAGGCAGTTGTAGGGTTGGAGAGAAGCAGAACTGAACCCCTTACGTTACAGGCACGTTAAGCTGGGAACCAAGATGAAGGCAAAGTAGGAGCTACTTAGGTGGCACAAATTACACAAATCTTAGGAGCCAGCAAAAGCCAAATACCAAATGCAGATGAAAAATTTAAAGTTCTTTGTAGATATGAACTCTAATCTGTAATCCACAGCAGAGCTAATGCAGTACTGTAACAAGCTGTCGCAACTCAGCTAGGACTGCTATCAACTGTACTGAAATTCTGCATCACTCTTAAATGCAATACTACTGCAGCAGGTAAACACCAACCTGATTCAAGGTAACACACATGCTCTGTAACAGCTTGCCAACATACTTTCCCATCTCCAGACAAAATATTATTAATATCATAGGCGTCTTTCTTCTCAAATCCAAGTTTGCAAATTGCATCATGCACAGGTTGAGAAAGGCAAGTAGTGACCGAGTCTGGCAAGGCCATCTAGAACAAACACACAGACACACTCACAGAAAGAATCCTTGTATCACAAATGCACACAAGAACAAAAACAAATTAGTAAAACATACTGTCCTGGGGTGACACATACCTAAAAGCACAGCTACACAGACAGTAATACAGCGTCTGTAAACAAGCTGTTTGGGTTTGCAATGCAAGTTTCACCCCTGCACGTGAAGAACTCTCAAGCAGAACCACCTTTGTAAAACTGAAAGAAAGCTTTGCTCTGTTTTCACAGGGTCAGGAGGGTGAATTTCAGAATGATTATATCTACTGAAACCATGACAAGATAGACTGAAGCAAAATATCCCGGTTTATATATGTTCTGCCTAACCTTTGAGCTTGCAGAGAAACTGATGCTACTTCAAGTAAACCAAGAGCATCAGTCCTTACAATCAGCAAGATCCTTGGAGGGAGGCAGAGGAGGAACAGGTGAATTCTGTAGCAATATAAGCATTCATGCGATTTCCACATTAGTCTAAGAAGAAAAATTGACCAATTCAGAAGAACACATCTAAATTTTAAAAATTGCACAGATAAAACTGCCCGTGTTTATAAGGATGAAAATGCTTCTGATTCAGTTAAAAAAAAAAAAACAGGCAGACAAGAAATTGTTCGATAAGGAAGTACCACAACTAATAATAATGAAAAATACGTCATTAAAGTTAAATTAAAAACATTTTTTCCTCTCTAATTAGGTGGCAGAATTGACCCTCACATATGTAATTTCTGAATTCACAGCTTCAAGAAAAGAGAAAATATTTATATAGGTATCAGCACTGAGCAAGGGTAACAGTTCCCATCGGGAACCGCTATTAGCTGCCATCTGGAATACCTACCTGCTATTTAAAGAAAAAGTAATTTAAAAATCTACAATGTTCCTAAGACCTATTCAGTCCATCTTAATTTGTGTCTCTTCCCGTTCGCCGTTTCACTGTCAGGAACAGAAGGCCAGAGCAAAACCGGCACGACTGCCGCCACCCGTTATTACTATTACTTATGTAAAGCGGGCCAGGCACGGGGCAGGGCGGTGACCTTTGCAGGGAAAGCAGGTCACCGAGCCCCGGGCTGGCACTGGCAGAAGCAGGGCAGCGCTGTCCCCTCCTCTGCCCAGGCCGCGGCACCGGCCGTTCCCCGGGCCCGGCGCGGAGCCCTCCGCCCCGCCATGGCCGCCGCCGCCTCCGTTACCGCCGCCCGCGCGCCGCCTCACGGCCGGCTCGCGAGCAGGGCCCGGGCCGCCGCACTCCGCCCAGCGGGACCGCGGCCATGGAGGGAGGGAAAAAGCGCCAGGATAAAGACACAGTGAGCGGCCGCCAGGGCGAGGAGCGGCTCCGGGGGTTGGGGCACCCCCGGGAGCGGGCAGCGGCCCCGGCCCCGGCGCGGGAGGGGTGTGATGCCCGACTGAGGCGGGGGTGCCGGACCGGGCCTGCAGCGCTCCAGTTGGGAGGGAAGGATGGGGCGTGGAGAACGTGGGTTAAAAGGTGCCTGTGATCTTAAGAAACTTGGGATCAGGAACGGTGTTCCTTCTTGTTTAGTGCCTGGTATGGGATAGCTCGGATCTTTCTGCTCGGCCAGATGCCTCGTTCGCTCGTACCCTGGCGGCTGGCATGCTGGCTCAGGCACTGGGAGGCTGAGCTGCTGTGGTGGTAAAGAAAAGGGCGCTCCTCCCTTTGGTGGGGCAGTCCCTCCAACTCGGGGTGCTGCTCTAAACTAGAAGCTGTGCTGTCTTCTGAAGGAATAAACAAAAATTCTTTCCTGTTTGTGTTAACAACTAAAAGCCATTGGTTGTTAAAAATGGACTTACTAACAAACAGAATTTCATTTAAATAGCAAAAGCCTTTTTTTTCCCCTCTTAGCATACTTCCTTCCATATGTCCAAAGTTAAGCCAATGTACTCGAGCTGAGTAACCTAAGTACAAGCGTTTTTTGGTCAAGTGCTCAAATGCAGTCAGTTCTTGAACTTTTGAGAATTTTTTTTCACAATATTTCAAACAAACAGTATTTCTTCAAATATTTTAGAGAAATGTAATTACAACATTGTGCTAAAACTTGGGGCTTTACTGTGTATTTTATACAGTGATACACAGAAGTAGGTTTATTTACTAGCCACATCTATAGAGAAATCAAGGTTTTTGGTTGCCTCATTAGTAAATACAATGACTTCTTGCAAGTGATCATGAAAACTCCCATCACTCATCATAGCAGGTAAACTTTTAAGTATCAGCATTGTTAGAAGTTGTGTGCTATAGACATGAATTTTCTTCCATCATTAATGAAAGAGGTTAAAGGTAGTGTGGCTCCAGCTGAACCATGTCAGCAAAGAATCACTGTTTGGAGTGTGCCCTTTTTCACAAGTTCATTGCTACTCACGTGGATGAGGATGCTCATTTGAAGACCTCAGCTGCAAGACTTGAGGTGGTTTTTCTTCTGTTAGGTGACATGTGATGAGCATGTAGTCTTTTGAGATCTGAATTTGCAGTTAGTAGATAATGAGTGTTCACAAGCTAAGTGCAATTGTGTTTGGTCCTTGTGTTTTTAGAGTAAGTGCTATTCAGATTCAACAAACACTAGCAGGCAATTTGCACTAAGGCTGCCAGCATCATTCTTTTTAGGAACTAGAGGACACTTTTAAGTAATGTCCATAGTTGTTGGCAGAACTAATGTGCAAGTGATTTCATAGAAAATAAACTGAATTTCTTCCCTGATTCTTAAAACTCCTCAGATGGAAAGATTTGTGAGCCCCTCAGTAGCCCATCTTCTAAAATAATTCTCATTAGACTTTTATATTATCTATAGTGACTTTTTTTCTGTACTTCTTAGCATAAGCCTGCATTGTGATGTTATTTCACTTCTGAGTTCTTTTCTGTTCTTCTGGAAAGGAACTGATGATTTTCTCTCATGTTAAGTTCCAGAAGTAGTCAGGAAGTGCAGCCAAGACTGAAGAGTCACTGAAGCTTGGAAGTGGTTTATTAGGAAGTAGCTGGTATTGAAGACCATTGCCTGTGGCATTTGTTATGAACCCATTGGTTCCTTTTGCTTTTCTGTCTCTGTTACTATTTCACAGTTCTATTTTAAGCCACTGTGGTGACCTTTTTTTCACAACATCAGACTTGCTTCTTGCATTCATAGAGGGACAAGTTTTGCTATGCGTCTTGAAGAGATAGAGTACACAGCTGGATGGGGAGAAAACACAATCTTCAGAGATCTGGTTTTAAGTTCCAAGCAAAATTACAAAGCTTTGCACACTGGAGCTTACTTTTTCCTTATTTTTTTTTTTTAATGAGCAAATTAAATCATCAATACACAAGCTACTATTTAAGTAATAAGGAATAAGGACAAGTAAAATGAAGTAATAAATGAACTAACTCTGTATTTTGGGTTGGCTGTTTGAATGAAAAGCTTGTGGCTAACATTCTTCGATAGGTATGTTAATATCTGTGTATTTTTACTTGGAAAAGGGAGTGGATTCAGGATACTAATATGATCTACATGATTAATGAGTTTAAATGCAAAATTCAGTTGGATTTTGCTGGAAAATAATTTAAAATTGAGTGGAAGTCAACCACTTCTCCATTTTCAGGCAAACCAGTAGTGTTAAAACAGCCAGAAGATGATAACCAGCTTCTAGCTTTCTGTGGTTTTTGTTAACATATTCCAAGACTAATTGTTGGGTTTTTTTCTCTTAATTGTACACCATAAAGTGTTATTTAGAGTCCTTAAATTCTAAAATATTGACATGTGATGTGTTTTTATTATTATTATTATTATTATTATTTTGTACAGTCAAAAGGAAAAAAGACATATCAGGATGCTTCAGGCACGGCTCCAACAGAAGAAAAGGCAAAGCCAAAAGGCCGTAACACATACAGACTGGAGCCACGTACTAAAGTTCAGGACAGTTTAATAAGAGACAAAGCTCAAGCAATACTAACGGTATAGTATTTAAATTAATTGTCTCATTGCAAAAGCAGCTTGTCTTGCAGAAGTATTTGTGAAACATTGAATATTGCACAAACTTAAACATGCATAAATCTCTGCAGTCTTTTGAGTTTTGGCACATGAGTGTAATGTGAAAGGACTCTGTTTTGCAAAGTGCAGAAAGGCCCCTACAAGGTCACTGCTGTGCATGTGCTGTTTAGGTGAAGCTGAAGCATCATAAACTTTTGCATTTTTTTAAATCAAATTGAGCTACAACACAGTTCAAAGTACCATAATCTGCAAAATATCCAGTTAGCAAAAGGTCATGACATCCAATTTGTGGATTTCTATTAATTCTGCTAATATCACAGGACTTGCATAAAATTACTTGGTATTCTTAACAGTCAGACTGCTATGTACACAAATTAAGCAAAAATGAAAGAGAACAATCTGTTCTGATAATCCAAAGCCGTTAGTGGTATTTTGAACAGTTATAACCAGATCTTTTTAATTCAGCTGTCTGGAAGACATATCTTCGATATTTGGAACAGATATTTATAGCACTGTTTTCCAGTGAACTGAGCCCAAATAATGGAGAATAACAATCACTCCTGATTGTTAAATGGAGATTGGCTGGGCATGTGTGTCACCTTCAAAAAAACAGATAAAACATCTCAGAGCAGTGCATCCTTTGCTGTTTGAGACCATCGTCTGTACTGATTTTTCAACTCACTAGTTCTTCTCATGTTCTTGTAATGAAAATGACTGTAAAGGGTATTTTTTGCAAAAGACTAGTAGGATGAAAACTAAGATCTTTCAAAATTGTTTTTGATAGAATAAACTACAAGAAGCCACATACGACAGAGCTTCTAGTCCCTTCTTGTGTGCTTCAATCTCAGAAGATATATTAAAGGCTGTGAAGGAATTGGACTATGACCGTTATAAGTATGTGGTATCAGTGCTAATTGTGGAAAAGGCAAACCAGGCAATGATTGTAAGCAAACTTATTATTTGTTACACCTTTTGAAAATGAAAAAACAACTTTTAGAACTGTGTGTTATCTCCTAGGTGTTCTTTCACATTCAGTAGCTTAAATTGTTTGAGGTGGTCCTGAAGCTTTTAAGTTCTTTATGGGTAGTAGTATCCCAGGTGACAATTCAAGGTGCTGCTGTAATTCTGCCTAACTCTGAAGGTTGTTGTCTTCATGTGTTCAGTAAGTGGTAAACAGCCCCTACTGCACTGCCCTGTCACCCACTTGTTTCTGCTGCGTGCTGTGCCATGAGTTCAGCGAATTTTGGTTTTCTCTGTCCAGTGTACTTGGATCTCCATTTGGGTTCTCACATTCAGTGCAAAACACTGTGCAGTTGTAGTGTGGGGTGACACGGAACAGAAGGGTGGCAAGGAAAGGGACGGTAACTGATGTTGCCACCAGACATGCTCCTGGGACTTCAAATTAACAACATCATCTGAACTTGGAATACCTAAAATAAAAGATTCTGGATTTTGCTGCGTTGGTGTATAAATTTAGTACTCCAAGCTCCCATTGGCATTCAGAATGCTTTTATCTGTCTAGTAAAGTGTCAAAGAGCAAAAGAGTACTTCTGCCTTGGAGTGTTTATCATCAGTTCTTAAAACATGATTGAAACCAACCTGTTTAGTGAGTTACATGAAACAACATTTGAGGGGTTCAGCTTCAGTACCAAATGCAGTTTATGAGTTGCCTGCATCTCTCTGCTTTTCTGGTGCTGTCTCACGGTATGGTGCCTCTTAAGGGGTGCTTTGACTGAGGAACTGCAGGTACAAGCAGATTAGTGAAGTGGTCCAAGTTAACTTTTTTCTCCCAAGGAATATGTTTATTCCAGCCATCAATTCACAGAGTTTGGCTTTGAAAACAATTTTATCAAAAAGGCTGAGAGCCCAATAAATGGTTACAAGTAAGCTGAAGTAAGCTGGAGTAAGGTGGAGATGGAGGAGTGGGGGATGTGACTTCTTGGTTGTCTATGTTCCCAAAACTAATGTCTAATCACACAGACATTCTATTGCTTTTGAAGGGGTGCTCTACAGTTTGTTAAATTGTAACAAGTGAACACCAGAGAGATTTGGGGGCTTGGTGTTGAGAGTTTTGAATCTCTCTGGGTGGGAGCTGTACTGTGAAGCAAGAACATATGTTTAACATCGAATAGGAATTGTTAATTTTATTCAACTTTTGCATTGTTGTTAATAGTAGTAACTCTCCTAATATGATTAGATTAGCATTTAGATAATGCTGTATGATCTTTAAAAAGAAATAGTAAAACTGCTGTATATAGGTTCACTTGTACCTTTTTGTCTTTTATCTCGATAGGTTGCCAGCAGATGCCTCTGGGATGATCAAAGAGACACTTGGGTTTCAGCTAAATGTGAAACCGATACATTTATTGCACTGGCTTTGGTAATGGCTTGTTATTACGACTAAAACTCTGAAAGTCACAGCTGCACTCCTGCATCACAATATGTGGTATACTTGAAAATTTTCAAAGCACTATTATTTTAGTATTTGTTTTTGTCCAATTGCTGTTGGCACATTCAAACTGACGTACAGTTGAGATAATTTTGCTCAGTTTTGCTCTGTTTAAAAAAAAAAAACCCGTAAACCTGCTTTGGAAATGTTTACAGTTGAGTACATATGGGCTTCATCTGTTGTAATGCTCTGCTGTGGAAGTGGGAGCAGCTGGTGTAAGGCCAAACATTGCAAAATTTTGAATGTTGCTCCTCTCTTGGGTGCCTAGGACTGTTAACCAATGCTTACATGTAGTTGCAGGTATCAATTTTCTTAAAAGCATGCTTTTTGTAAGAAAAAGCAGTGTTCATTTTTCATTTTCATAGTTGGTATCTATGATAAAATGCTAGTGTGCCTCAAAACTTGGCTGGGAGGGAAGCTGTGTTTTGCAGTCCTAGGAGCTTGTGCAAATTTCCAGCCGTTTGCCTGAATGAAGTTCAGTTATTAGGTTCCCCGGGTGTTAACCTTTGGTTAAATATCGCCTAGGGTCTCCTTGGTGGACAAATACTGAATTGAGCGAGTTAGGTCACTTTGGTCTAGGGGCTTCTGGTGGCAGTGGCAGGAGGACGACGGGGTCAGTCGCCAGGCTACTGAGAACTGGTCCGTAACTGGCAAGAGCAGCGGCGATCGTATTTTTTAAAATGAGACTCCGGCAGATCTATGAAGTGTGTAAACATCAGCTTTTGGATCTGCCGTGCGCAGAAATCCAGCGCTGGTGCCTTTGCCATGCCCGTTTTATTGTTGGGAGCTGAGAACAAACGCGAACGGGGCGGCGGTGCTTTCCAACACCCCGAGACCAGCTTGCGTTCGAGCGCCTTTGGAGCCGGGCAAACCTCGAGCGGCGGTGAGCAGCCCGGGCCGCGGGTGGGCGCACACGGGGGAGCCCCCGGCCGTGGGCGGCGCCGGGGCTGGGGCGCGGCCGTGCGCTTTGTTCGCCGGCGCGGGGCCGTGCGCGCCCACGGGGCCCGGCTGCGTGCGGGCGGGTGCGCGCGCCGAACCAGTCCCCGGGACTGGGGTCGTTCCCGTGGTGGGTAGGGAGGGCTGCGCCTCGGCTCCGCTGGCCCGTACTCGTACCGGCGGCACCGGGAGGCGGCGCAGCCCGGCGCGCAGCCGGCTCGGCGCGACCGCGCATCGGCGGGGAGCGGCCGCACGCGCCCTCCCTCCGTCGCAGGGGCGAGCGCGCTCGTGGCGGCTCCTCCGAGTGCGCCCCCCGCCCCCCGAACCCCCCTCCTGCGGGGGCTGATGGTTCACAAACGTAGCTCGTCCCCGGCTGACGTTCCCGGAGACGGGAGCTTGCCGGCGGAGCGCAGCAGCCCGGCCCTGCTGGGTGCCAGCTCCTGCGCTCGGCGCTGACCACCCCGCCGGGGGATGCTGCCCCTCCGCCCCGCGCTGCTGCCCAAGCGCTACCGCGGCGGCTCGGCTCCGCGCTCGCGGCCGGGCCGCGCGGCCGCCCGAGCGGCGGCGGCAGGAGGAGGAGGAGAAGGGCGCGGCGGCGGAGGCGGCGGTGGCGGGTCCCCCGCGCTGGTCCCGCGGGGCGGTGCCGGGTCGGTGCGGGTGCCGGTCCGGCGGCGCGGGCCGGGGTCGCCGCGGGCTGCCCGGAGGGGGGCGGAGCAGGAGCCGCCGCGCCCGTGCGCGCGCTGGCCGGTAGGGGCCGCTGCCGCTCCCCGCAGGGCGCGGGGGGGCGGGGCTGGCGGGCGCGGCGCGAGGCCCGGTCGCGCGGCGGCGGCGGCGTCGCTCCTGTTGGCCCAGCCGGCGGCGGCCATGGCGGCCGTGCTGTCCCCGCGCCTCTGCGACAGCGACCCGGCCACGCCCGGCGCGCAGTCCCTCAAGGTGAGAGCGGGTAGCGGCGGCCGCGGAGCTGCGGCGCAACAGCCGCCTCGGCGGGGGGGCTCGCGCGGCCCCCGCGCCTGGGTGCCCTGACCCGCACCTCCCACCCGACCCGCCCGCCCCAGGCTCACCTCACGCCCTCCCGGGGGGCCCGGGCGGCGGCGGGCGGCCTCCCGCGCCCTGGGCCGAACTTTGAACGCAGGTCTGGGGCTGGTTGCCAGGGGCCGTCCTCCTTCCCCAAAGTCCCTCGGCGTCTTCCCGGGGGCGGCGCGGCAGCTGAGTCCTCACCGCGGCAGCGCCGCAGCCGGGAAAGTTTGGGTCTGGCCGCTGGTAGTTCCGCGTTGGCCCCGCCGGCTGCTCCCGCGCATCCCGGGCACCGCGGGCGCTTGTGGCGCCAAAGACTCCCGGCGCAGATCGGCAGTATCTCTTTGGAACGCGTCTCGGGTAGTTCAGGCTTCTCGATCGCTTCATAAAGGAGCGTTACGTCGATCTTACAGTGATAGAGGTACCAGAAGTTTGTAACGTCACCGTGTTTCGTAAGGACTAACAAGTTTTTTACGGAAACATGCGTTTTTAGGGAGAAAGGGGCTTTTTTGGGCAGTGTTTGACTTTTCATGTAAACAGAGCCACGGAGCTATCAATTATTATTTTTTTCTTTTTTTTTGAACAGTAAAGGTGGTTGAGCAGCATTGTATCTACAGAATGCAAATGTTTTCATTTCATAAACTAAGTCGTCTGCAACAAACTGAACTTCTGTGATTGAACTTCGTGAAATTTTAAGCAAAGAAGGAAGCAAATATGGAAATGGAGAGCACTGATCTCTTTATGTTCTGGATACTCATACTTTATAACAGTACCAGGTTTAATAAATGAATACTAAGTGAGAGGAGAAACAGATAGCAGGCACTTCCACAAAACTGTCAGGTTGAGATGTGTCTTTTAAAGACGTTTTGAAGTTTCTTGAAAGTTTTGGTATACCGGAGGGTTGCTTTGGCCCTGTTCAGGTTTTTTTCTAGCAGTTAAAAGAATTTGGAGTGCATTAGTATTCTTGTGGGAAGTAGAAATTAACTACTCATGAAACAGCTGTGTCACAAAATACTCTCATGCAGTGTTTTGATTGGGGGCTGCTGCTTTGTTAGTCCGAGTTCATACAGGGTATTCTCAGCAGTACTAAGAAGTGGCATTACTGGTAATGTGAGTGGAGATACTACACGCTGCTTTAAGGAAGGCTGCATTAAGAAAACTCAGTTTCATTAAATTGCTCTCCTGTTTTTATTACTGTGTGAAAGATGTTCTTCTTGCTTCTTAAGTAGGAAGAAAAATATTTTAAAAAAATTGCAGAAAAGAAGAAATAAGCCAAAAATCCAGGAGACAAATGCTTTTTGCCTATGGCCTGTCTTGATTATAACCTTGTGAAGTGTTGCATAATAAAAGTAAAGTGTTTGCTGGAATATTTTTAAATCGATATTTCAAGTCATATGTTAAGTAAAACATCCTAGAATGAAAGACATTAGCAAAGGTAGACCTAATAATCATTGTTGTCATTATTAAATAAGGAAGTATAGTTGGGCTTGATCCATTTATTTCTGACAAGTTAATTCCTTTTGCTTTAACTTTTCACAGAAGTTAGGAAATTGATTCTTTCACTCTGCTCCACTTTAGAGATTCAATTACTTAAATAACTGTTTTGTTCTTGATTCCACTACTGGTTACGGTAGGCAGTTCACTTAAAGATTTCTGCTGTGTCTCAATTATGATCACACAGGGTTGGTCACTAAATGCTTTGAGATTGATGATGCAGATAGGAGTTATATAGCATTATGGGACAACAAAGCAGTGAAAAACGCAACATCAACTGAGTAATTGTCTTCTAGATTTTACAGAACTGTTTGTTTTGCTTTGGTCTTTTTTTCCTCTCCTTCACTCTTTATTCCCTTTCGTTATTGGTCACATGGAATCTGAATAGTGACACCTGCCTGAATGTTCCCTTGTAACAGCTTTGTTCTCTTCTGTATCTGTTGCAATACCAAGTTGGGTTTTTTCTTCTGTATATTTTTTCATCTCAAGACACAAGTCTTGGCTACTTGCTTGTACAGATATTTTTTGTAAACTATACCATTCCTTTTATTTTAACTGTATACCTATAAACTCCTGTGTTGCTTTTGGTAATATTTTCCCTGATTTTGTAAGCATCAACTCTCAGCAAAGAATTGGGGTTTTTGTTTTGTGCTTGCTTTTGGTTTGGAGTGCTAGTCTGATTAAGTGCCAGAGGTAGTTTACATCAGGAATTACGCACTTAACGGTCAGAGCTACAGCCCTGCCTATTCAGAACTCTGCCTATGCTGCATGTGGAAAGCCACCACGGTCTCTTTCTGGGCTAACACCTGTCATGCAAATAGTTTGTAACAAAGAATAATTTGTTGTGTAGACTGTCCTGTGAGTTGTTAAGACTGTCTTAGAATGGCTTAGCAGTTCAAGTGTATTTAAATTGTGGATTGCCTTGCAATGTTTTTTATGTTTTACATTATCTTTGGAGTAGTCTAATTTTTTTAATATTTATTTTCATTTCAGGATGACACAGAAGAAAATTCCAATGATGGCAGCCAGCCGTCCAAAAGACGGCGTATGGGCTCAGGGGACAGTTCTCGGAGCTGTGAAACTTCCAGTCAAGACCTTGGGTAATACTGTGTTTTACAATTCCCACTTTCTATTGCAAGTCTGACTTCATTGTTCAGCATGCTTAAGTATTAGTGCTTTTTTCATTATTTGTGTATTCTTCATCCATCTTTCCAAATTGAGGTGATGTCCTAGAAATACGTAGGTGTCTATTGCTTCCAGCATATTTTTAGGCATTTTATTTTAGAGTGCCACAAAAAGTGCTGCCCCTGATGTACAATCAGAAGCACAGTTTACATGTTTTCAAAACATTGCGTACTTGAATGAATGGTGACTGTAGTAATCATGCTGAATGAATTTTGTCTCTGTAGTACTTGCTTTTCCTGGTGTCCTCTCCATGATGATGGTTATCAGTTTCTTCAGATTCTGTCCCTTAGCATGTTGGCAAGTGGTGATTTAGAGAAATATATGTGAGGTTGGGTGTAACAAAGTGACTTTTGAAACAGGTTAACAGGATGCAGTGTTCTAAAGTATACGTCCAACTTTGTAGCTACTGTTCCAGTGACATATAAGTAGGAATTACTGAATTTCTGGAGATGTAAGTAGTATTCTTAAGGATTGTTGTGATTTGTTCTAATGTTGTTCTTATATTTAGGTATAGTTATTTTCCTGCTGAAAATTTGATAGAATACAAATGGCCACCTGATGAAACAGGAGAATATTATATGCTTCAGGAGCAAGTCAGTGAATATTTGGGTGTGACTTCCTTTAAAAGAAAATATCCAGGTATTTATTTTTAAAGTTTTTCTTCTAAAAGCTTGTGTCCTTAAACAGTTTGGGTGTAGTCTGTGCTTCTTTGGTTATAGGATGGGCTGACTGTTAATAAAAAGACCCAGGAAAAGCAGACCTGGATTATACTTGTACTTTTTATTTTCATTACTGGAAATGAAATGTATCCGCTGGTTTTCAAAATAATATAAGACTTTGTGGTATTGCCATGAAAATTTGCAAACAAGTCTGATTTGACAGTTAGATCAGACAGAGCAGGTACTGTTTGAAAACTGATGTTAATTTTATTTTTAGTGATTTGTTGATGATTTCTTACTATATAACTGGATCTCTCTATTCTGTTTCCTGAATTGTGGCAACATTCCTACACTGTGGAAAAATACTAAAAGGTTCAAGTATTTATTATCAAGTATTTGAGCCTCCATTATTCAGAATTGTCAAATCTGGCTCTTTTGTTGGGGAATTTATTTTTTGAAGTTTTGGTAAAAGAGAAAAGACTGTACTTTCAGTGCTTGGTAAAATTTTCTGCATCTGAACTTACATGTCAGATTTCTTTAGTTTTCCTGTAAATCATAACTATAGGCAGGGTCTTGACCTACTGTAGGTCAAGAAAATCTACCATGTCCCTACATTGTTTGTTAAATTTAAAAGTAATTTATCAAGTTATCATGTTTCTTGGAATTAGCAGTATAATACAGGCTCTAACTGCATGGAAACAAAACGGTTGAAATACTTTGACAGTGTTTATGGGAGAGTTTCAGTTACTGCACACATTTTTATTTCTCTTTTTTGGTTTTTTTTTGAGATTTAGAAAGGCGTGATTTATCTCACAAGGAGAAACTCTACCTCAGAGAACTAAATGTTATCACAGAGACTCAGTGCACACTAGGTAAGAAAACAAATTGTTAGACTCCTTATTACAGTACAAGAAGTATGACACTGAAAATGGGGGTTCAGTTTGGTAGAGAATGATTGTATGCCTCTCAACTGAAAACATAAATTCTGAAATGAAAACTGATTTATTATTATTTTAGTAAATTGGCCATGATGTATCAGTATTCCAGATTTATTATTAACAAATATATTTTGGATCTGTTCTAATTACTTAGAGGGGATTTTGCTGTTTTCTAAGTTAACTTGTAGAACCTTTTTCTCTTAGAGAAGAGACCACCATAATTGTGTAGTCTCATATATATACATATATGTACATATATACATCGTGGTATATATTGTGTATATATGTACAGGGTGTCTTTATATACATTAGTTAAATGGTTCAGCTTCTATGTTAGAAATTAGAAGAGTGTATATTATGGCACTTGAATATACTTGAAATGGATTGATGTGATTTCTGAGGGTTTTATTGAAAGTTTTTTTTCTTACTCTTCTGATACATGTGATTTGGATATGCTAGAGTTTAAATGATGCTGACATGATTTTTTTTTGTTGTTGTTTGTATCATGAGTCTTTGAAAATGTAATGTCATTTTATATGTTAACAATTTTTAGTATACCACCTTTATTTCTCACCTGTGAGCTGTTTTTGTTTAACTTAACTATACATAAGAGAACCGTATCTAATTTTTATATATAGAGGTAAAATGTTATATTCTGCCTTGTATCTCCAATAGAGATGTGTGCTGACTTAACTACCCCTGTTTTTAAAATTATATTATAATCAGTGGTAGTGACCAAGTCATTCCATGCTATTGTCTGTGTTTGGAGATTAGTTGTGTTGGAACTGTCAGGGGAGATCTGCACTGTAGCTGCAAACTGAGGCATTCTGCCTTCTGAACTTGAAATGCTTTGATTGGGAGTCAGGAGTCTGTGCAGTTTGCTGCTCTGAATTGCTCTCCTAAAGACTCTTCCCTGATTTGTATAGAGACTTTATGTAAACCTTGTAATTTCAGTAAAGGTTCTGAAGGGTAATGAAACTTCACCAGCACTGGAAACTGAAACTAACAGTATGTAAGGTCCCATCTAGAACAAAGGTTCTGCCTCACTAGTGAGTTTTTAAGTAGGTGATTGAGTCAATTTGAAGGGGTCTGTAGCTGTAAGTAATGACATGAGCCTTGGGTATAAGCAAACTCCTAGTCAGCCTTGAAAGCTAAATGGCTTTCAAGTTCACTGCTACTTGAGAAGGAAAAGCATTGTGCACAGAAGGTGGTTGTTGTCTTTAGCTACTCAAAAACTTAAGAGTTGGTCATTGTGTGATATAAATAACCTACAGTTACTTTTGTAGATAGCATCATTGTTGCTTTTATTTATTTTAGGTCTAACAGCTTTGCGTAGTGATGAAGTAATTGATCTTATGATTAAAGAATACCCTGCCAAACATGCTGAGTATTCTGTTATACTGCAAGAGAAAGAACGGCAGCGAATAACAGATCATTACAAGGAGTACTCTGTAAGTAATTACCACTTAAAGTGAACCATATCTGCAATGGGAATGTGAGAAAAGGTTCTTCTCAAACTGATAGTGAAATGTATGTGAATTGATGTGATTGCTTTTATTCCAGCAAATGCAGCAGCAGAACACACAGAAAGTAGAAGCCAGCAAAGTTCCAGAATATATTAAAAAGGCTGCCAAGAAAGCTGCAGAATTCAACAGCAATTTAAACCGAGAGCGGATGGAAGAAAGAAGAGCCTATTTTGATTTACAGACACATGTAGGCAGATTTAAATTTCTTACCAATTGTGAGGAGGGAGCTCCTTGCTTGTTTTAGTGAAGTTGGTTTTGGTACCATTTTAACTATTTTCAGGGGAGTTGATTCTTTTTTCACTCATATAGAGACGTACGGTTTTGCTCTTAAATGGGTAATACTGTTAAAAGTAATAATCTCAAATATATTGAACCTGCAGGCTTTTTTAACTTGAAAATAATTGTCTCGGGAAGCTCTAAACATCTCAGTATTGTAATCATGTTCTTTTACTGATAGTCTTAGCATAAAACTAAGAGCGTTGTTTATTCATATAAATGGCTAATTCTTCTTTTGATCACCTCCAAAATTTTGCCTGACAATACCTGAAGTTGAAAAGAAAACTATTTAATACCTAAAAGTCTGCTGCCTGTCAATATTATGCCCTTATTTTTTGTTAGGTGTTATATTATTTTTCTGTTGCATATGTTATATGCCTCTATGTTTGATTAAAAAAAAAAAAAATCTGTCATTTTGAAGCAGTGCTGTTCTGCTTCTATAAAGGCAGTAAAGCAAAAGTTTTCTATGCAAATTGTTACATGGCGAACAATTACGGAATGTTTTCATTTTCCTGGTATTGACCATGTTAAGAGACAAGATAATGGATAATTACTTCTATTTCCTTCTAAGAGAAGGAAGGCTTATTATGTGAGCTTCTCCTTTCCATATATTTATATTATTAATGGATTTTTTTAAATAGTACAGTCTGGGTTCAGAATTAGATGGACATGTTCTTTCTGCTCTAAAGCAGTGTGGACCAATAGTGATAATTCATGCTAAAGATGCCAGTTACAAATGTTAATGTTTACTGTTTCAATTGCTAGATTTCAATTTCAAAAATTTTTTCATAGTATACTGTTTAAAGAGGTTTTACCTAATCTTTGTTCAGTTCACTAGATACTTAGGAATTTGATTTAATCCATAATACTGTTCTGTGAGTGGGATCTCTTAGCATTTTAGTGAACTGAATTTCTCATGGGAGAATTCAGATAGCTGTTCCAGTTCAGTAAAACTGGCAAGTTAAAAAATACTTGGAGGAGTATTTGGTGAGGAAGGCTCAACTGTTTGTGAAACAAAAATGTAATTGTTTTGTATTAAACAATGCAGATTATCCAGGTGCCTCAAGGAAAATACAAGGTCTTGCCTACAGAGAGAACAAAGGTTAGTCCTTATCCAGTGGCTCTCATACCCGGCCAGTTCCAGGAGTACTACAAAAGGTATTTTAAAAGCATTCCAACTGCCAGTTCTGTTCCACTGATCTCTTTTGTCTGTATTTAGCAAGTGGAAAACATTTCAGTGTCTTTGCTGTAAGGTTTCAAATTAATTTTAGTTTGAGACACTTGATAATCTTCAAAGATGCATATTGTGACAGCTTGAGTCAACAAAACAGTGTTGACTGCAAGACTGCTGGCTCTACAGTGCTTGAGATTTGGCCTGCTCAGATATTTACCATAGCAAAAAGGGACATGGATTTCACTCCTGCCACCCTTCTGTTTATTTATCATCTGCCTCTGCACGTGTGCTAAAATTAATATTTTTGTATCAAAGTGTTGTAATGCTGGCTTGTGATCACGTGTCTTCTGTTCTATTTTGAATTTTTAGAAACTCTTTAAAAAAATTTGGTCCTGTGGGTTAAATTTGATGTTGGATTTGTAAGTGAGAAAGACATTGCAAGCTGGACCTTTACATTTAATGAAAAGCATGTTACTTGACTGTTGACATAAATTTAAGATTTTACTAGCAGCATGCTACCACTGAACAAATCCATACAGATTTGAAGATTTTGCTGAAGTCTTACTGTTGTACAATACAGGTGGTATTCATGCAATATATGCTTTTTTTTTTTGTAGAGCAGCTCTTTGTCTGCATGTGCCTTGCTCCTTCCAGTGTGTGTTCATATTTGCATGTTACAGGACGTTCCTGAAGGACTTAACTTTTATTAAATCAATTTAATTATAATGACTTCATATTATGTTTATTTTGCACTTGTAAGCTGCTGGTGAAACTGCTTTTCCATCTCAGTGAAGGACACGACCTTTCATATTATGCATCAAAATAGTATCCTGTTCCTTACAATGCTTGCCCCCAGCAGTAGGAGGGCTTTCACTTTTTTCTTAGTCTTTAGGGTTAAAAAGGGTAGAATATGCATGATGAGCTGTATCTGGCTATAAGTGGTGTGATTATACCTTTACATTCTTTCAAAATTACATTTTCATGTGCATTTTTTTGTCCTCAATAATCAGCTACACAGCTGTATTCTTTGCTTTGGATATGTTTATGTGCCCTGAGTTAGAATTTTACACGTTATGGAGCTCTGTACCTTCATAAACAAAGTGCATGGTTTGTTTGGCATAGTAAGCATGGATTGGTTAAAACTTTGCAAATGCCATCTGTGTTCCATGAATATCTGCTCTACAAAGAAGACAAGTTCTATATATAATATCACATTTGGGAGGAAAAATTAGTATGGTTCCTTTGTTTTCAGAACTTCCTATTTTTATGTGCCTTCTTGAAAAAAAGGAGACTCTTATTAAAGTCCCTGTGTACTGTGTGACTTAATATTTACGCATAAAGTGCACATGAATGAATGAATGAATTAATTTTATTTATTTAACATCAGATACTCTCCAGATGAACTTCGTTATCTGCCATTAAACACAGCTCTTTATGAACCTCCTTTGGATCCAGAGCTGCTTACACTGGACAGTGATGGAGATTCAGATGATGCAGAGGAAGGACGAGGTGATGAAAAACGGAAAACCAAAGGCAATTCGGTGAGACAAATTGAAAGTATTCTTGATCAAAAAAGTCCTTTCCCTTCACTTTTGTTAGTTTAATTAGTTTCTTAGAATCTTTTAACATTTGCAAAATGAAGGAAAGACCCTTTTTAGTACTTCTGTTTATTTCATAACACTGTTCTCCATTGCTTTCTGTTTTGGTCCATTTTCAGGGTAAATTGAAAAAATATTTGACATTTCAGGCCTTTTCTTCCTGTTTATAATTTTTTTTTGTTTGTTTTGTTTTGTTTAAAGAAATTTTGAAGAAACTTCCCAATGCAGCTCTTCATTATGCCCTTTTTCCTGAGGGAAAGTTGCTGGCATTACTGAGGAGAATGAATACTGTAGTTCAGGTCACAGTATACTTTTTTTTGTGATGTGGAAGCAGCAAGTATAGAAACAGTTTCTTCATTCCAATTATATTTATTTAATTTAATTTTTAAATTAAATTCCAATTTAAAAAGAAGGTTAAAAGCACTGTGGTTTTTTGCTTTACAACACATCTTTTAAAAGATATTTATGTTCTCTCCACTTATGCAAATGCAAAATTAAGCATTAGCTGAAACTTAAGGGAAACTTTCATGTACGTACCTTGACAGTTCTTTAAATGCTCAAGAGCCAGCTGAGATTCAAAAGCTGAGTACAACTGAACCATTGGTGTATTGGTGCAGTTTGTATGTTGGTGACAATCTCTTTCCAGAAGTTTAACTTAATTTTAACAGTAGTAGAATATCACAGTGCATTTAGCAATTTCTGGCATGATTGGTGAACGTGTTTGGCAGTGGGTACGTACAGTTCTAAATTTTGTCATGTAAATATCTTCTTTGAAATTTGTAAGATAATTATAATTGCAGAAAGGAAGAGGTCAGCTTGTAGTTTAACAAAAGGAGAAGTAAATGTTTAACGCACTGTTTCTGCTTGCATTTTTTTGAGAAGAAGAAATCATAAACATAGCATGCTAAATGTCAACTCAAATTTTTGGTTTAATCACACTCCAGCTTTTTTACAGTTGGTCAGTTGGTCTTTAACCATTTTTTCCCAGTTTTCTTTTCCATTGACTTCCATTCTCATTAATGGTAAAGAAAAGTGACTTGACCAAGCAGACTATCCTTTTGATTTTTCACAGAGGCTCAGAAATCTTTTTTTTTTTTGTGGCAGAATGCAGAAGGAAAAATGTCCCTGAGTTTGAAAAGTGTAGAGAAGTGTGGAAGATTGATAATCAGATTTCTGTGAAGTGGTTTTGGCTATGGGAGCAGGGATTCATGGCTATTTAGTCATTGAGGGGGGCATATAGTTAAAAAAAACCCACAGAGGTGGGACATTGTCAGATTTGGGCAACCTACCATTTTCTCAGATCTCCTTGTGGAATCCCACAATACGCTAAAACTTTTCCTTTTTCCTACCTCCCCCTCCTCCATTGTCAGAGTTGGTAGCAGTTTTCTTTTATGTAGTGTTTCAGTGGTTCTGACCTAAATAATCCTTCCCTTAAAATAATGGTGAAACATACCATTTCTTCTTGCCACATAGTTCAATCTGCTTTTGTGTTACACTCCTCCATTTGCTGTGTCTGTTTTGTCTGTTTGATTTTAGGACCGGGGGAACAGGCTGATTACTATTGTGTTTTTACAGAGTGTGTTTTACTGTAGGGCACCATTGTTATTTGGCCTCTTGGGTTTTATTGTGATAAATGTGAGTAATCACACTGCTTCCTTCTGGAGCTTTTTGGAAGCCCTTATTAACACTTCTCTGAGAAAAGTCTTGTGCTGCTGCTCTTAATTATGCCTACATTGATCTCTCACCCTCTTTGAACCTCTTCCCCTCTTTCTTGCCTCCTTATTCCTCAAAAAAAAAAAAGGCAAAAAAGCTTTATGTACAAAATAAATCTGTTGTTTGGTTCTGTATTAAATATGGAAGTGTGTTTTGCCGTTGATGGCATTCTTCTGCTGCAGTCCAAATTAAATACTTATATTGCTCCTGGTGAAAACAGTAGATAAGGGTGGCAGAAAAAAACCTTCACATGTTTTAATTCAAGGCAATCCTTGTATGCTTTACATGCATGCATGACAAGGGCACTTTTAACTTTTTGCTGCCCCTTTATGTTGTAAAGGGCATCTTGCATTTAGTTGATTTCTTGCTGACTTCTAATGAAAACGCTTCAGAGAATTACGCTGTTGTGCTTCCCACACTGGTACCAAGACCAACTGCAAAAAACATGACTGCTGTTGCTGATGCCAGTCTCTTAAACCAGAAAAAGACAGATTATGAATGTTGTGAACAAAGGTGTTCTAGATTGTGATAGACCATATGCTTATGCAGAAGGAATGACATATCCTTCTCTTACCTTACTTGACTCTAAGGAGCGTAGGAAAGACTTGTCTGTCTATCCAAAAAAATAAATAAAAAAAATATAGCTATGGTATTTTTATTATAGGATAATTCGTCTGGCAATGTATCTGAAGGTGATTGCGCCACAGACAACCAGGAGGATTCTTTTCAGGGAAGACAAAAAACAAGAGACAAAAGTGCTACTCCAAGAAAAGATGGTTCCAAACGTTCTGTATTACCTAAATCAGTTCCTGGGTACAAGGTAGAAGAAAAAAGCCCCTGACTGAATTTTATTCACCAGCTTCTTCCTGAAGTACTTGGTTTTTTCAATAATGTGGAACTTCTGCTTGCTGTACTTCACTAGCTGTTCTCCTGTTATGTGCTCCATCTGTTTGCTTCCTTATTTCCTTTTTGCTTATATTTTGTGTGAGGCTTTTCTTTACCTTAGTTGTGCAGTGGCCTCCTGTTGAGTTAATTTCTTAGATTCATAGGCAGTAAAGCTAGAAAAATCCATTGTGGATTTTTCATTGGAACTCAACATCTTTCTGTCTGCTTTAACATAGCAGTCAGAAGTATGTGCCAGTTTGAAGCTAGTATTCACTATCTGTTACTTTTTTTTTTCTCTTCTGTATGGCAGCATACCAAGAGGCCAGTCCTGTAAAGTGCAGCTGTGTGGCTGAACATATTGTTATGGCATTCATTTTAAATACAGCCTTTCATCCTGTGATGTTATGATGTATAGGATGGAAGGCAAAAAGCTTACTACAGCTGTATAGGCAACGCTGTGTAACCCCATAACAGTATTTGGAAAATAGCTTTTTATGTAGTTCATACTATGGTAACATTTGTGGGCAATTTGCTTTTATCTAAACTAGAAACTTGGTGAGTATGTTAAGACATTTCAGCTATCAAGCAGTGATTGCCGAACCCAAGACCCTAATCTTCAGTATTCCCATATAATAATTTCAGGAATTATGATAAAAATACTTTTCAGAAGAAATGGGAATTGGCACACATTGTTTATGTGTTACTATTCTGCATACTGAGAGAGGATCTGAATAAATTGTAACACATTTAAAGCAGGTAATTGTCTAGTCCTGTTCCACTGAGAGGAGTGAGAGTTTTCCATTGACTTAAATGGGAGCAAGAATAGACCCATAAAGAGGGAAAACACTAAGTTAAGATAGCGTTGAGTGTTTACCAGTCAGAAATGCCAATTGACAGTTATGGGACGAGGAACACTTCTGTCAGTGACAAGTTTGTACATACTGAAAATCTGTCTCGGCAAAAGTGAGCTGTTGATGGCTTGCATTTTATGTGTATAAATATTTATTGTCTGTGTTTACCAAGTTAATAGTAAATAGACTATAACTTACAATAAGAAGCTAATTTCCAGCAAAAATTGGACAGCTTGGATAAATTTCCTCTACATACAGTATCTGTACAAGTTTGAAACAGACAGCAAGCTCTGGTTGCATTTTCTGTTTTCAGGAACTTATTAAGAAATGCGTGAACTGTATAGATTTAGACTATGGTTACCACATATATATATTTTTTTATATGTAACTTTGCAAGAAGTTGTAGACATAGAATGCATTTCAGTATTCCCATGAACATGAAATCCAAAGATGAAGGCTGAAATTTTGCTTTAGCTTTGTTTAACTTGACATTAGAAATGGTGTGCCACTGGTTTACAGAAGCTTCACTTAGCTGCGAGATGCTCAAATGTTTGATTATTTCAATCTACTTAATGGACTTATGAATGCATAGGGAGAGAACTTGTGCAGCAGACCTTTCAGCAAAGTTTTGAACTTAAAATTGTAGAAGAGCAGTAGTAGTATACAGCACTGCATTTTGAAAATGGATTCCCATAGCAATTACTTACTGGTTTAAAATCACTGATTCTGTCAGGAACAAGCTCTTACTATAAATTTACAGTGCCACATCTTTGCAGTGTCAGCATACCCTGCCTGCATCAACCATCTGAATGCTGTTAAGTCAGGGGTGGTGATGGTATTTTAGGAGGGTGAGAGGATTGGCTTTCTTGTTTGTGGGAACATTTGAAATCTTGCAATAAGCCAAATTACATGAGCTGTTTTAACTGGTAAGACAGAATGATTCTTTTTTGTGAGTCTATAAAAACACCAGATAACAATATACCTACCATATGTGCCTACATGTTGAGGCACTTAGAGCCGAAGGCTTAACTGATACAAAATGTTTTCCCTGTGAAATCTTTATAATTCTTTTGTTCTATATTGTTCTCTGATATTGGACTATTTTTGTAGGACACTAATCTTTTGGTTACATGTAGTTAAAATGGAAGGATAATTGCTATGGCATCAGCATATATATATATATATATAGTTATAGCCACGTTATAAGTATTACAGGATTCCATACATTTCCACTGAGTTATTTTCAAGTAAAAGAAATACTGTATTTTATATGGAGTCTTTTTTATTGTCAGTTCTTTAACAAAGGACAGTTAGCGTGTGTTTTACATTTTGTCATGTTACAAGTAGTGAGTCTGTTGCTGCACGACTGACTGCTACAATTGCACACACAGGGTACTGTTAAAAGTACAGGAGAATTTTTTTGCACATGAAACTGAAATATGTTGAGTATCTTTATTTTGCAACACTTCTGTTTTGGGTCACTGTATATGAAAATGTAACGCTTCGCATTCAGAATAGGATGTTATAAAAACATGGTGTAGTTGGAAAGCTTACTTTGAGAGCTGCGGCACAGCACCATGGAAGTGAAAACCTACACAGCACAGTCATCATTTTGATCCTGCATTTATTTTCTCTCCTATCTTACCCCAATGAGATGGGGATGTAGAAAGCAAAATTTACTCCTAGTGAGATGGGGTATTGTGACTTCCCATTTGGAATTGACAGACTTTTTTATAGCATTTCTAAAAGCCACTTACGGTGATAGAACGGAACTGGATTAAAATGTGAATAGTCTGGATTTGTTTGTTTGTTTGTTTTTATTTGTTTTTGTTTTTGTAAAAATACTTCCATACTGTTGGAACTTCATTCTTAAAAGGCTGTGATTTTCGCCCCCCTTAATATGCACGGTTTCTGATGAATACAGGTTAGTGAACTAAGAGTAGATGGAAGCATTGTTAATAAATGCATTTATAGCAATGTCTAGCTTGAGTTATGTGTATCAGAATGTGAACTGCACACGCCTTTAACACTTGGATGTGTCCAAAAAGCAGCTCACTTTGGCTGGAGTATTGGCGAGTGTGATATTGTATATTAAAGGCAGTAAAATACAAATCTAACAAGCCAGAAGTTTGATGAGGAAAGTGTGCTTGCTATGTTAGAGAGGCTCAGTTTCTTAGATTACAGTACAATTAAAAAAAAATAGCCTAAACAATGGAAGGGTAAATGCTGCCACACTGACAAGGTTTAAGCATGTGCCACTTTTGTTGGGAGGAGCAGGGTATAAAGGTATACATGTAGGACACGTAGTATAGTTAACAGTAAAAGAGTTTATGCGTGGTTTTGCTTCCATTATATTTATTATTTTGTAGAGATGTTTGTGTGTTAGACTTCTTTTACTGTTTTATTATATTTATGTATGAAACAGGTTGACTTTGCTTTTTTAAAATAAATAAGCAAAAAAAAAAGTGTCTATGAATGCCTCTGTCATCTTTTGAAGGAAGTTACCTATAAACACATGGTGTGGTGGTTTTTTTGCTTTCTTGAATAAAACTCCTTAGACTGAACAATTTGAAGCAGGCTGTAGCCATGTTTTTACATAAAAAGCACATTGAAAACTTTAGAAAACTTACAGCAATGCATCCTGATACTTCAAAAATGAGTCAAGATACTAATTATCTTGCTAGATGCTATCAAAAACTGGCTGGGGAAATGAACACACTTAAAGATAAGTTGTATTGCAAAAGATTTTTGTAATTGTATTTATTAATTTATTTGTGTTTTCATTTTTTAGATTTGTTTTAAAATTAAACCTAATTCTTCTCCTTGCATGTGGTTGGTAGTTGACGGGGATTCTTACTTACTGACAAGCTATTCAGAAGCCTTCAGCTCCCTCTGCTAGCTGGGTCTTTGCAGCAACTTTGTTTTTTAAAACTGGTGCTAGTCAGTTTAAATCAGTGAGTACTACATTAATTGTAGGCTACATTTCTCACTGATTTCATTATGAGGCAATCAAAGCTCAACAATGTAACTGCTGCCATATTTCTGAAATTCAGAATGCTTTCCTTCTTCCTCAGGCCTCATCAGGATGAAACTGTTGGTGTATATATGGAGTTGGCATACACAATGCATAGGCAGATGTTCCACGTTGTAACAGCCCGCTCTTTATCTTACCCTTGAAATGCATCTCATGGACCCAGACACACTCCAGATGATCACTTAGAAAAATTCTAAATGTAAATGTCTAGTCAAATGCAAGGGTTTTGTTTCTTACATGGTTATGACTGAATACAAGCAATGGTAAAAGAAAGACAGCCCTGTACAGCATAGCTCTAACCAGGAAATTTGAAACTGAAGATAGAGAAAATCAAGTTTATTGCTTTTGTAATTAATTTTATATATGTAGGAAGAAATGTAATGCAAGTAACAAAATTATATATAATTTCCTTCATAAACAAGAAATCTACACAGAAGTTCATAAAGTAGTATTCTATATTGGAAGAATCTTCCTGAAATTTTTCATCCTATGTCACATTAATTCACCATGAGGAGAATGTTAACTGATGAATTAATACGAAGAGGCAAGTACGTGCTTTTGATCCAGTTGGATTTACATGCAACTCATTATGACAAATGCAGAATTTTATGTAGTTAAATCTGATTTTTTCCATTGCTGCTGCTTGTCAGTGATTGTCACGTGTTTCAGGGTTCACACGTCCTGACAGACAGTTTATTAATTTTAATAGTTAAGGAGATAGATGACATTTCCTGTTGAATCTGTGAATTCTTCTGGAATGAATTTATAGCCCTCTTCTACCCTTCCAGCCAAAGGTCATTCCAAATGCTATATGTGGAATTTGTCTGAAGGGTAAGGAGTCCAACAAGAAAGGAAAACCTGAAGCTCTTATACATTGCTCCCAGTGTGACAACAGTGGTGAGTATCTACATGCACTGAGTGGATTCCTAAGGGAATTTGACAGATCTGTTTGTGGACATATTTAGTGTACTCCATGTGTAGCAAGAGTTCAGTTGCCCTTTCTGTCCTTTGTTACAACCCCATGTCTCTTTTGTGTTCTCTGTGCTCGCACACTCGGTGCACTGTGGGATCTCACCAGGAGGTGAGCTAAGCTTCATGTTTGGTGAAAGCAAACAGTCTAACTAATTCTAAATTTCATTTCAGGCATAAAAGTAATAATACTGGTTTTCATCTAGGCCACCCTTCTTGCCTTGATATGACCCCGGAGCTTGTTGCTATGATTAAGACTTACCCTTGGCAGTGTATGGAGTGTAAAACATGCATTATATGTGGGCAGCCTCACCATGAAGAAGAAATGATGTTCTGTGATGTATGTGACCGTGGTTATCACACTTTCTGTGTGGGGCTTGATGCTATCCCTTCAGGTAACAGAGTTCCCTTGCTCCCTTCCCACTTCCTCTGAGTCCTGGACTCACTCTCAGAATTAATACACACATTGCTTTTGAAAGAATAGTTTAAAACAAGAGTGAAGGGGAAGAAACACTGTAGGAAAGCATTCACACTACAGGACTTTTTTACTAAGCTTTATTTCTGTATATTTGGTTGTGCACAGTTAAACCTGGCAATTCCTGTGTAGGAAATGTAATTGGCTTTTACAGCGTAATCCAAACAGGCTCAGAACTTTTTTTTTTCTATATCCACAGAATACTGGGAATAATTACCTCTTTTCATTGAAGAAACCTGTAAAAGAAACTGTATTGCTGCATATTGCTAGAGTATAGCTTTCACATTAATTGTGCTGTTTTAGCTTCTAAATGAAATAGTTGTCTCAATTTAATATTTGTAAATATCTCTTTAAACCCTTTCATTCCTTTTTTTATTCTTAAACATCAAAACTGCAACAGAAGAACCTCCATGGTAGGCACACAAGCCAGTAGCTTTAAATTACTTAAATCGCTTCTATCATGTGGTCAACTCAGGACAGTAGAAAGAAAATAACGCTGGTACTGTTGCTTTACATGTAATTTTAAGTCCATAGTAAGATCATGAATACATATTCAGCGGCAGTGACTCCAGTGACACCGTACTGCCCCATTTTGGGAAGCCATGGAGTTAGCTGTCACTTTTGTACAGGTTCTGTGACTGATTTCACTTTGACGCTGACCTAAGAATATAATCAAAATAGATTACATGTCTACAAAACTACAAAACTACCAAAGCCTTTGATTCCAGCTATTGTAACATAAACAGTTAAATGCTTCGCCAACTGCCATTCATTTCTGTTCTGGGTAACTTCACAACTCAAACTGTAGTCATTCACCTGAAAATATGAACGGCAAACTTGAGCATTGTTTGTAAAGCTCTTACCTAATTACCACCTCCTTGGCAGTGCTGGCACTTCCTGAGGTCCGTGAAGATTGGTGTAGCCGGTGGTTACACATAATGAGTCTGCAAGGGAGTGTGAATTGTATATGCTGCTTTGTAGAAAAGATGCTCAATTTTAAAAGCATTGGTTGTTCACATTAAAGGAAGTACTGCAAATCAATAAGCACCTAAGAATGGTGAAGGGCTGCCTAAATAGATGAGAGAGTAACAAACCTAGTTTCCCAATAATTGATAACTTTCTTTTCTTAGGTCGCTGGATTTGTGATTGTTGTCAGAAAGACCCTCCTGTACCCAGAAGAGGAGGAAGAAGGGGGAAAAGCAGCAAGGAGGGCTAAAAAAGCCCTAGAAACTTGCTGTCCAAAACTTAACTGCACAAATTAAAGTGATACTCTGGTGCTATTTAATCAACCACTCTATAAGAGGAGCAATACCACTTTTTTTTTTTTTCCTTTTTACTAAATAAACTTTGTCTATATATTGATTTTTTTGTGATACAAGTCACTAATGTCCTGTCAGGTGTTGAGAGAGGCAAACCAAATTCCCACTCAGAAAAGTCTTTCGGTAATGAAATTTAAATTATACATGCATTTGTATAAAATTATAGTAACATACTTGTTTATTTCAGTGCATTCATCAGTAAGCTCTGTAAAAAGAAAATTACAGAGCAATTTATATGTATTTTATTTGCATAGCAACTGGTTATTCTGACAGACTCAGCCAAAGCAAAAAGTATTCCTGTTAGGAAGAGTGGGCATGAGATGACCTTTTAACAATGTACTGCAAATCCCTTTCAGCAGAAATTTTCCTTGCAAGCTAATGACTTATTCATAAATATGTGCTTGGAAAAAAAAACAAAAAACAATCACAAAAAGCTATCAAGGGAAGTGTAAGAAAGCACCTCTCAAGTTTGAGATACCTATGTGCTGTGTTGTTTGTAATGGGAGATGAAAATGTCATATTGATGAGCAGCAACAACTGAAGGCTCCCTCTCCCTGCAGTAATAGCAAAGAAGCAACATGCACTTGATTCAGGTCATGGATTTGTAGTGGTGATGAGTGACTGGACCAACCTCCATTTGACAGATGGCTGATGTGATGTAGAGCACACACAGTCAAAATACAGAACATCTGTTCCCTTAGGTGATTATTTTCTCCTTCCTTCACCCTAAGCTACCTCAACTTCATGAATACACTCAAACACGCTGCTGATCAGTTTTACTGGAGATGCTTGCTCAGAAAAGAAGCGGGTTTTATTTTTAAATATGCTCTAAATTGAGAGGGGGACTGAAGTGCAGTAGTTTATTCATTTTTCTTTATAAAAAACAATAGAAAATACTGAATTGGAATTGATTTTCCTAAGCACCTATTTTAAGTGAATTTAACAAGATCCAAACTATACATTCATTTTTAAGCCCTGATTTCTGAAGAGCACTGCAAATACTGTGCTGGCTGTTCATTTTACATATTGGGGAAGATTTACAATAAAAAATTAAGTATGGCTTTTTCTCCCCACTTCCTTTCTGGTTTAGGAAATGTAACCTGAATATTTCTTCAGGAAACATAGTGAGTATTAAATATAACAGCAAGTCATTCATACCACTTTCACAGGATGAAGTGTGACTTAAGTCCAGTGTGTATCAATTTAAAAAAGGATTTCAAGTATTAATTTCAAGATCCCAATAAGTATCGTCCAGAAAACAGACTCCTCATCCTGTGATTCATCTTCTGTAGACTGGGAATATTTCTGGTTTGCCTCCATCTCCTCAGGGTTATAAGAAGCCTCGCCAAATGGATACTGTACAACTGTTCGATCATAGTACACCTTCATTTCAAACTCGCTCTCCAGGTGAGAGGGATGGCCGTAAATCCCTATTCCCACAGGGCGGCGGAAATGTGCAGGCACATGGACGATGTCCTGGCCACAAGTTACAGACTGTAACTCGTACTCATCAAAGCTGGGGTGAAGTGTCACATCAGACACGTACAAGTCTGCGTCACCTTTTAAACTCCGCATCTGAAGAACAATCTTTCCCTCATGATTTAGTCTCAAATAGCTGTAGTTTCCTGCTCCAATCTGACCTTGGACAACGTGAAGAAGAATCCACTCCTCTGGTACGTCCTCTTCCTCAAAGGCATTTACCACAAACAGTACTTGAGCTGTCACAAATACTGTCAAGATTCTTCTCCAGTGTGTTGCCATGGTCTTCAGTTGTATTTGGATTCTTCCTGTGTCCTGTGTGCTACCTTATGAATACAAAACACAATTGAGATTTTAGTATATTCCCTTCTTGGAAGTAATCTATTATTTTGTTTTAATTTGGTACTTCTTATAAATCCGCTCTAGTCCATACAAAGTTAACTTGTTAACTTGTTAACTTGTATTTTTTAATAGTCACAGAAAAAAGTGTTAAGATTCAGAATTTTTGTCAGAATAAAATTGCTTAAGTTTCCAAAAGTTAAACAGAAATGAATCAAGCCAGTGTTCTTTCAACAGAACTGACACTTCAAGTTTCATTCTATCTGCATGCATGCCAAACTTGATAGATACCCAGAAGGGGTGAAACCCAATAATGATTTTAGCTTCCCTTCAAAAAAACCCAAAAAGCAGCTGAGGAAAGGAAGGCTTTTGCATGCTTGAAGATGCTTAGCTTTCTATGAGGTACTTAGGGCATCCTATTTGTTCTCCTAACTTCATCCTCTCATCTCAGCTTCAAAAGACAGTAAAGGTGCAAATCTGTGGATGTGGACTTGAAGCAGCAGGCATTCCAACTTGCACTGGTATGGAGTTAGAAATAAAGTTATCTAATGAAGTAATACATTAATTTATAATCCTGATGTATGGCTTGTTTCTAGGATCAAATTTAGGCACGTTTTCCCTGAAAAAAAAAAAAGCATTTACTTTCAAGGTTTTGTTACATTACATGCTGTAACAAAAAACGCTCAGCTCTTTACAGCACTTACATACAAAAGATAAGGCTGAAGGTACTGGGACAAGGGGAAGCTGGAAAGGACTGCTGCAAGATCAACGCTCTTACAGCCTATTCCCTCCTTGCTGCCCTCTCCCAGTCGGGCAGCCTGAACTTGCCTGCCACACTCCAGCCCTCTGAACAGCTGCACTAAGTCTCTGTGTGCAAAGCAGCAACTTCCAAACCTTGCAAAGTATAGAGCTGACTGAATTTAACATGCAAATCACAGGAGCCACAAGCCTGAACACTTTCAGGTTTAAGAGGAAGATTGTCATCCCCTCAACCCTTCCATAAGGACACTACAATTATCTGAAACCAGGAAGCTGCCTGTAACTTGTTTTGTACCCTAGCTAGCATCAAAACAAACTGCATTGCTTCCACTGGGATGTCACTTAAACGTTAGAAGTTCTACAACTGAACGGATCCAGGGGAGAAAAAAAGAGAAAAAATGCCCAACTGTTTCTGTAGTTCGATGTTTTCTGCCCCATAGGCCTCTCTACTGCAAGGCCACAATTCTGCAAAGACAGCGTAATAGAACGAGGTGCAGCATTCGCTGAACCTGCTAGACTGACAGAACTCCCTCAACAGCCACAGGAAAAAACAGTCTTTTGTCTCGCCCGTATCAGAAAGCTGACTCTCTGTCACTTGCACATCGAAGTAGTGATGAAAAACGCGGTCGGAGCCACAGAAAGAGCTCCACATCTGACCAGAAAATAATTAAAGTTATCTAGGAAAGAACTAAAACGTCCTGGCGCCGGCGCTGCGCTCGCGAGGAGAAGCGCTTCCAAGAGACCTTGGACAGAGCCACGAACGAGCAGCTCTGCCCGCCCCGGCTCGCCCCCGCCTCTCCGCGGGCGGGACCCCCGCGGGGGGCGGCGGCAGCTCGGGGGGACGCGGGAGGCTCCGCGCCGCTCCCTCCGGACGGCCCCGACGGGCCCGGCGTCACCCCGCCGGCCGGGGGCTGGGGCACGGCTCACCTCCGACCTGCCGCGGGGCTCCGGCTCCGGCGAGGCCGCAGCCACGGCGAGGAAGAGCAGCGGGGACTCCGCGGACGTGCGGCAGCGCAGCGCGGCCGGGGCGCCGCGGGAAAGCCCCTCCCCGGGGCGGGCCGCGGGGCGGCCGAGAGGAGGTCGGCGCCGAGGAGCCGGCCCGCAGGGCTGGACGCCGCTCCCCCTGCTCGGTGCGGCCGGCCGAGCCCGGGCCGCGGCGGCGCGGGGGGGAAGTCGCTGGGGGCGGGTGGAGGCGCCGCGCCGCCCCCGAACGCTGCCGGTACCGCCGGGCCCGGCCCGCCCCGGGCACGGCCGCGCCCCCGGTATCGCGAGAGCGCGCGGCGGGCGGGCTGAGGGAGGGCCCGGGGAGGGCGGGGAGGCACCGAGGCCGGAACGCGGAATGGTAAAGTGCGTGAAGCATATTTCAACACAGAAGCCTGAAATTAGAGAAACAGTCCTTCAGCTGCTCTGAGATTAGATGTAAGATGTTTGCTGGAGGATAGGTGTCCCTCCGTGGGTTAGTGGCATTTTATTTGACTGTCAACATAAACCTGACCTAAGATCACAGAAGGGAAAAGTAGTATGACAGAGAGAAGAAAAAAACCCCAACATTGTTTTTAATACCCATTGATTTCAACAATTACTTTGACTTGTCTGAGCTGCTTAAAGTCATAAGAGTGAAAAAAATAAATCTGCATGCCGTGCATTGTGTTCTAAGAGATTCAAGAGAGCCTGTGTATGTTCCCCAAGGGCCCTGTGTTAACTGAGCTGATGTTCTGTCTTCAAAGCCCTCTAATTTCATAAACCTATGTAACTTGTTCTCTTCATTCCTAGCTCAAACAAGCTGGCTACATAAGACTGCCAAATTCTGATAGATACTGATAAATTTTAGCTTTTTTTTGAAACCAGTTTTGGTTGTATAAAGACTTTATTCTGCTTAAAACTTTAAAATCTTAAAGTTGCTAGACCTCATTTTTAAAGTTATTCTTGTGATTGAGTATTGAGTCCACTACAGATACACTCTTGTACACAAAAGCATGATATGATAAGGAACTGTTAATTCCAACAGTCTTTCGTTTTCCACATAGATGTCAATTTCACTGGAGGTGCTTGAGTGGGTCCAGAGAAGGGCAGTGAAGCTGGTGAAGGTCTGGAGCACATATCCTGTAGGGAGCAGCTGAGGGAGCTGAGGTTGTTTACCCTGGAGAAGAGGAGGCTCAGGAGACCTTATCACTCTCTACAAGCATGTGAAAGGAGGGTGTAGCCAGGGGTTGGTCTTTTTTCCAAGGCTACAAACGGCCAGACAAGAGGAAATACCCTTAAAGTGTGCCATGGAAGGTGCAGATTGGACACTAGGAAAAATTCTTCACAGAAAGGGTGACTAGGCACTGGAATGGGCTGCCCAGGGAGGTGGTGGAGTCACTGTCCCTGGAGGTGAGTAAGGATCTAGTTGACATGGTGGTGTTCAGTCATAGGTTGGAGTAAATAATTTCATAAGTCTTTTCCAACCTAATTGATTCTGTGATTTGAAATAGGTGGATACCAGGGGTGTGGGAATTTGTGGAGCCAAGGTCTTTCAGCATTGTGTTGCATAGAAACAGGACATTGCCAGAGGTGTTTTATGGGGGTGTGCTGAGGTATAAAATTCTCCCAACACACTTACATGTGTGTCAATATTCATCAGTCAAGAAATCAGTCCAAGATCTCTGGTACTTCTTTGGATTGCTACTAGTTCCTTAGTTGTTATGGACAGTAGATTGTTGAAAGTATTGTAGGTACAAACATTGAAAGGTGAAAATAAAGTCGGGTGAAAATTGTAATAAAGAGTACTGCTAATCTGCCTAGAAGCAGTTACAGAGACACAACATGTTGCAGAACAGGTTCTTTAAGTCTCTCAGAGGTTGTTTGTGTGTCAGAGCACCTTTTTTGCCGTGTCAGCATTTGTTTTTCTTTACCAATGACTAAACTGTCATAACATATTCATGACTGTACCACTCATGAAAATTATCACCAGCATATTAACAATAAAGTTTTCTCTACTATTCCCAGCCATGAGTCACAATTCAGAAAAGCAGTGCATGTGCAGTTCACTGAGTTGCCTCTGTGCAACTGGTTCTCTATACAGTGGATTTATCCAAATTCACATGCACACACAAAAGGGAATTTTGACTGGTACTTTCTCCAGGTGAAACTAACAAACACAGGGAGACTACATTGTCAGTGACAATATGTATCAGATGCTTATATAGGCCAAAAATGCTTGTAGTATTAATTACAGACAGGCACAAAAAAGATAATAAAAGATAGAAAGTATCTGTTTGAAAAGCAATTGTGGTTAATATTGACTGATCTGCTTCAAAATGGTTTAAGTTGATCAAAACCTTGATCATAAAATCATAACTTTGGTTGAAAGGAACTTCTGGAATATTCCTGTCCACCTTCCTGTTCAAAACAGTTCTAATTAAATTGGGTTACTCAGGGCCACGTCCATTTGATTCCTGGACAACACGAGATATAGATATCCACAACCTCTCTTCAGAAACTTGTTCTGATATTCAACCACTGTCACGATATTTAAAAAAATTAAATACTGATTCAGTATAACCCTAATTGGGTTTTCCCAGGATCTAGTTTATCACTGAGTGCCTCTGGGAAAAGTCTCTCTGTCTTTCCTGCATCCTCTAATTATGTAGTTGTAGGCAACAGTAGTCTCAGCTGTCTCTTCTCCAGGCTGAAGAGACCCAGCTCTCTCAGCCTCTCTGTGTACATAATTTTCTCCAGCTCCCTGACCATCTTTCTTGCTCTCTACTAGAATTGCTCCAGTATGTCAGGATCTTTCTTGTACCAAAAATCCCAAAACGAGACACAGCACTGCAGGTGTGGCCTTACAGGTGCCAAATAGAGGAGGATCACTCCCACACCTTGCTGGCTACTCTTTATTACAAATACATCCCAGCATGCAGTTGGCAGCCTCTGTTGCAAGGGCACTGTGGTGGCTCATATTCAGCTCGTCCAGCAGGATGTCTGGATCCTTTTCTGGGGAGCCCCTTCCCAGGGAGCCATCCTTCAGCATTTCATCTTGCATGGAGTTACTCTGTGCCAGATGTGGGATTCCACTTACTCTTGTTGGACTCCATGAAATTCTCATCAGCCTGTTTCTGACTGCTCCTCCCAGTTTGCCATCATCCACAAAACTTGGGGAAAAGTAGAAGGTTTGTTTTTCTTCTTAATGATGTTGCTTCATGTTCTGTCTGTGTTGTGTTCTCTGCATCACAAAATCATAGATGGTTTGGGTTGGAAAGTGCATTTAACAATCACTTAGTCTAACCCCCCTCCTGTGGGCAGGGAGTCCTAGTAGACCAGGCTGCTCAAAGCATCATCCATCCTGGCCTTGAACACTTCCAGTGGCACGGCATCTACAGCTTCTCTGGGCACCCTGTTCCAGTGCCTCACCACCCACATTGTAAAAAATATGCTCTCTCTGACCAATCCAAATGAACCCCTTCTTAGTTTAATGTCTCTTGACACTAAAGGCCTTGGTAAAAAATGTCTGTCTTTGTATGCTTGCTTTATATATTCACAGGGTACTATAAGGTGTCCCTGGGGCCTTCTCTTTTCCAGGCTGAAAAAGTTCCACCTGAATTTGAGGAAGAACTGTGCAGGTGACCATCCACTAGAACAGATTGCCCAGAGAGGTTGTGGATTCTCTCCCAAGATATGGATGTGGGGATATTCAAGAATTGTCTGGATGCAATCCTGCGCCATGTACTTTAAGATAACCCTGCTTGAGCAGGGAGGTTAAATCAGATGACCCCCTGTGGTCCCTTCCAGCCTGACCCATTCTGACTGTGATTCTGTGAAGAACACCAAATCTCTTCACCTGTCTTTACAGGTGAGATGTTCACATCTGTCCCTAAGGTCTCGCCTCGATAGGTTCCTGTCTGTGTTCTGCTGGTGTCCCTGGCGCTGGGCACAGTGCTCCAGCTGGCATCCCACGAGTGGGGCACGAGTGGGGCTCTCCTGGACTTTCTGGCCGTGCTGCTTTCTGTGCAGCCCAGGACATCGCTGTGGAGAGCCAGGAAGCAGCCCCGGGCGGCTCTGGCCGGTCACGGGGCCCATTGCAGAACTGAAGGGACAGCGGCTGCTGCCGTGGGCCCGCCGCGCTCCTCGGGCGAGCGAGGGCGGTCCTGCCCGGCCTCCCGTCAGCGGCGGCGCTGCCCTGGTTACGGGCCGGGGCCGGGGCCGGGGCCGGGGCTCTTCGTGTCCCAGCAGGAGGGAGCCCCGAGCGGGGCCGAGACCCCTCGGCCCCCGCGGTCAGGACGCAGCCGGCGGGGGAAGGTGGCCCTGGCGGTCCGGCTCTGCCGCGGGGCCGTTGGCAGCCGCAGGATGGAGAGCGCCGGGGCCCGCTGCGCCTCTGGAGGAGGCCGTGATCCTGAGGCTGTCTGCGAAAAACACTTGTTTAAAGGCAAACTGCCAGAGCCCCTCTTTCAGCTGGCGTGCAGTCACAACCACTGTGCTTTCCCTGTGAGTCGCAATGAGTTGTGCGTCTGGAACACAGCCACTGCTCAGGTAAAGCTAGAATAGAGCTCTTCATAGGCTGCTGCTTTAAATTAATTTATAAATGAAATATTTGAAGGTAATGTAGAAGTGTCAGGTTTCTCTTCAATGCTGGAAAGGTACTAGCGTTTGTTAAGAACTTTTTTATTGTGAAATGAATAAACTAAGCTTTTGTGGGGGGTTGGCCCTGACTGGCAGCTAAAGCACTAAACTAAAGCTAAAGCTTTACCCATTCTCCTGCTGACTCCTCCCCAGCAGGGTAGGGGAGAGGGAATTCCCATAGGATGGGAAAAAGTGAGAAGTCACGGGCAGAGACAAAGGTAGTTTAATGAGTGAAGGAAAGAGAAAGAAAAAAGCTATACCAAAGCAGTCATCACCCCCTACAACCAGATTAATCCCAGTAAGGCTTTGAGCAACAGCCACCTTAAAGTCAATGTCCCAGGCCCTCAACACCTTGTTGCACCCAATACCCCAGTTCTATTGCTGAGCATAGCATCATATGGTAGGGAATATCCCTTTGCCAGTTCAGCAAACTGAAATATTTGTTCCAGCTGTGTCCCCTCCCAACCTCTTATGCACCTTCAGCCTACTATTAGGATGGGAAAACTGAGAAAAAGTGGGAAAAAAGAGAAGGCCTCAATGCTGTGCAAACAGTATTTGGCAACAGCCAAAACATTGCTGTGTTATCCTGACTGTTTTTGTCACAAAATCCAAAGCACTGTGCCATGCAAACTGCTGTGAAAAGGTTAACTCCATCCCACCCAAACAGCTACATTGTAGTTTAGATGTTTTGAAGCTGTAGATAAAAATTATTTTGTTGATTTCATGTCCATTATCCATTTGTAGTTTTATATTATTCATAATCTTTGTTTGAAATTATTCATTTAACTCTTCTTTATCTACATTTGTCAGCCATTATATTTGTCAGGCCATCATGACTCAATTTCTGCATTGTCATTTGGAAGTAAAATCAATCCGCTTCTTGTCTGCTCTGCCTCTCATGAACGTGTGATAGTGTGGAATCTTGATGAATGTACACAGAAAGTGCAAGAAGGTATTGTTTATATATGTGTCATATGTATAAACAAAGAAGTGATGCAAAGGCAGCCAGTCACCACCAATCACTCAGACCAGTATCCAGCCAGTTTCTGAGCAACAGCCACCTTGGAAGGCCACCCCAACACCTCCTTTTCTCCACTGGTTCTTGTACAACAAGATTGTTATTTCTGAGAAGCACGCCTCAGCCGCTTAGATTCAGCAGCATGGACAGCCATATTAACTCTGTGTTTCTCTCCTGCCCTTCTTCGGCAGTGCCGGGTTGAGCCAGGCCGGCAGCACAGCCAGTCCTGTCATTGTCACAGCCGCCGGCCCCGGGCGGCAGCGGCCCCGCGGCGATGCTGAGCGGGGTCGGGAGCTGGCCGAGGTGCTGTGCGGGAACCAGAGCCTGCCGGCAGCCTCGGGCCAAACACAGAGACACACTGCAGAGAGAGTGGCGTTCTGCCACTGTGGAATAAAATAGACAGAATAAAAACTCATCATAGCAGTACTGCATAATTAAACATGAAACGGCAAAATACTTCATTTTCGGGAATACTTGTGGAACTAGTGTTTTCTATCCTGCTTTGCCTCTCCTGTCTCTGGAACATTGTTTTCATCTGTGAAACGTGTGAGAGACCAATACAAGTATCTGATTTGGGAGATGAGCGCATGACTCTGTATCCTGACCACCATTTTGGTTTGGAGCCTCAGCCAATGGCATTAGAATTTAGTGTTAACCTTTCTGTAAGCGTAAATTAATTGGAAAGTAGAAGAATAATGAAAAAAAAGAAAAAAAAAAAGAAAAGAAAAAAAGAACAAGATTGCCAGAGTCATGATTCACTGGATTCCCAGTGGCAGTCTGTCCCCTTTTGGTGTCAGTATTTAAAATTGCATGGCATTGTCCCACACTATTAAAAGTTTCCTCCTTGTCACCTATAGTTAGAGATTTGCTGATGACTTAATGTGAGGGAGTTCTCTTGTACTCTGCTCCACTTTGACTGTTCAAATCTATATAATATGAAGACTAATGTTGTAAAGAAAAGTTTAACAGTATCAGTGCTTTTTATAAAAAAAAAGGTCAGTATTAAATTTTAATCCATGCAAGACTAACAGAGAATCAATCAAAGGGTGCTTCAGGAACTGGGAATAAAATGGGACTATGAATCTGGAGATAGGAATAGAAGACAGAGGATAAGAATAGAAAGTAGCAGAGAGATAAAGACTATGTGTAGTTTTGATACAAAGGCATTTGGCATCCAGATTGTCTGCTGCTTGATTTTTTAATTTTCTCTCCATCTACAGGCTCTTCAGCAGATGCTGTAGAGTCTTTGTCTCCACAGACTCTCCTCTGCACATTCTTGGCATGTTTTCTCATATTATTTCTTATAAATGGTGTCAAAGTAATTAAGGAGTTCTTTGTGTGACCTTGACCTGTTAATCAATTGTAAAAAAACTCCACAGCATGATAGGACACCTGTAGTTGTGCTTGCATTCTAGATAATTTGTTTCCTATGAAATCCTAAAATTTAATGACGTATCCAAACCATCCTCACATCATTAGAGGCAGCATTATAAAATAGGGATCAGCAGAAACCAAGCTGCTTAAACCAGTAAGATGACCAAAATGAAATCATGAGGACAGGGTAGAAATGTGACCTGTTCTCAGAGCTAGCCTCTACTTAGTGGTGCACTTTCTCTTTCAGAATTTTCCCACAGAAAAATTAAAACCAGAGAAGTAAAATCCTCTTTACTTTTTGGCTGAGTGACTGGCATATTCTCCCAGAAGTATTTTTCAAAGCTGTGTTTTGCTGGGCTTCAGTTAGGATTTCTTACTTCCAAAACGAACATGGCACTAGTAGGTTCCATGGGCACATCACCCTACTCCAAAAATCTATTCCCTGGCAATCTTCAGTGGAATCAAGAAAGCATGATTTGATGGGAATTATTTATATCATAAAGAGTGCCAAGTCATGTCTAGGCAACAGGGCAGATGGAGGAATTCTAGTGTCCATTGTTCTATGCTTTTCTTTCCAGTACTCTGGTGTATATAAACAGTGTATTTTTCTGTACATATTCCTGGCAGAAACTGAAACAACTTTGTGGTTAGTAAAGTTTGCACAGTTTGCTATGTAAAGTTTCTAAGAATCTCATTGCATCAGATTTTTATATTTCATTGAGTCTCATTAACAATACAATTGTTGCAGGGTTTACACCTCGAGGAATTGTTATAGGAACTCTTTTGGGAATGGTGCTTCATATAAGATTTAGTCCAGATGATCAACAAGTGGCAGTATGCACTGGAAATCAGATCTACATGTTAAGTGCAAAGGTGAGATAGCATTATTTGTAGCCATGGTACTGGTATTTTATTTATTCACTTTCAAATAAAATTATGATACAGAAATGTTAGTAAAATTAAGCAAAAACATTCATTTTCCATCATAAAATAAGTAGGAACTGGTGCTTGATAATGCAATATATATCAGATAGAAGACTAGGTTTAAACAGTTGAAATGAAACAGTATCTCAATAACTTAGAAGTAGAAAATATTCTCAGGTCAGCTGAAAAACTATTCCTGTGTCATTTAGTCAGAAGAAGAAAAAGTAATGTGTAGTGGCTTTGCCGACAGGATGGTATACAGAGCTTCAGTTTCAATAAGAAAAATCTTACTGAGTTATACTTTGAAAACAAATCTGACAATGCTTAGCAAGTGTTATTAATTATTAAAGCACTTAATTGTAAATTTTATGTTGAAATCTATTCTGTTTTTATTTTTGACTTGATTAATCACAGAATGAAGCTATACTAGCTGAATTGGATGGACACCTGGCTCCGGTGACTGCTGCTGAGTTTTGCACATGGGAGAAAAGTATGCTCATATCAGTGTCAGAAGACAGAACCTTTAAGGCAAGGAAACTGTAGAGATGAACTTAAAAAAGAATAATTTAGTGAATCTTAAGTATTATTTATTCCCCTTTATTCCCCTTCAAATATGCTCTGAAGATTAAGTAAAAAATATCTTTGACTTTATGAAGATAAGGACATTGTTCTTTGAATTGCTTTGGAAATTATAACAAAAATGAATTACTCTTTTTTTTAAAGAAAAATGCAGGTTTTGTATATTCAAAACTTTCCACATTCAAGTATTAACTTCAGTGATTATTATCATCTGGGAAATAGAAATAAAATATTTTGATCAGTTTGACTGTAACTGAAAAGTTTCAGGTATACTGAGCTGAAGGAAAATATTTCCCTTTGAATCTGCTGATACTGATTTGAATTTTCCCTTTTGGGATTATTGGACTGGGTTGCTGTATGCAGTGTACCCCTCCCCTCTTTTCTCTCTTGTGTATGCCTTTTCATAAAGTTAGCTAAAATCACTGAGATCAACCTAAGAAAAGATGATACTTTGTGTTTCCATATCACGTGACTTTCCCCTTTTTTCACCAGTGATGCTTATCAGTTGGACAAAACCCTTCATAGATGGAAGCAGGTGCTGGAAAAAAATTTTCCTAAGAACATCACAATGCCTGCATTTCTTTGTTTTCATCACAGTGATGGCTGTTAAAAAGTTGTTTCCATAAAAAGTTTTCCATAAATATCTAAGTAGATACCTATCTTTATATCTTTATATCTTTTTTGTTTATTATTTTTTTTAATCTAAAGGTGTGGGACTATTCTACCAGCCAGTTAATATATCAGTCAGGAATAATAGCAGGTAATTTTTCTATTTTTAAATGTAATTTTTATTAACAAAATCCTCCTATCTCTAAATAATAATCTGTGATTATTATAGAAGTTTTGGGTTGATTTAGTGGAAATAATTCTCATAGACAAGGTAGCAGTAAACATATCCTTTAAAGCCAACAGTTTTTCCTTTAAAGTCTGCTTCCCAGTAGATAGTTTTAGTGTACTTTCATAAACAAGTCTGCAAACTATGCCACAGCAGCTTGGGTGGCAGGGTGCAGGAAACCACTACCATGGCAGCTTAGGTGGCAGGCAGAAAAATGCAAATGGAAAGCCCTCAGCAGCACAAGGGCTGAGGCACACAAAGCTCTGTGCAACCATGGGAACTGCAGTAAGGGCTTTTCTTCCCTGTGTTTATAAACAGGAAGAATCAATTTTGGACCATGTGTTTTAATTAAACATCTGATTTGTGTCTACTCTAGAAATGCTTTTATCCTTCTTTCTTGAGCAGCATTTCCTTTGCTAAGTTTGCTAATCGATGAAGAAAGCAAACAGATTATCACTGGATGTGCTGAGGGACAGGTAAGAATTGTTAGTTAAACTTGGTCTCTATGTCAAGAGTCAACTATTACTGATGCTTCTGTCTGTAATAAAGGTACACAAGCTGCCTAAATTTTTTTAATTATTAAAGAGTTATTTTAGTAAGCATAATTCACTGCTTCTAATGTAAACCATAAATGGCAAATAAGACCTCTATTACATAACAGAAACTTTTTCCTGAAAACCAGGAAAACTTTTATGAGCAGAGTCAGTGATTATCTAAGAAGAGCACATTGAGAGGCTATAAATATATATGCTTTAAAAGAAAAAAGATGAAAAATAGGATTCTCCTATTTTGGCCGAAATAAGAAATGCATGACAATTAAATGGAAGAGGCTATGATTTCAGCATGTGGGAATTCTAATAAAAATGTGGTAAATGTGAATATCTGTTTAACCTCTTCTTTAATGGTAAGAATATATTTGTGTGATAACTTACAGATGTTTTTCTTCAGTGTTACTGTTCAGTAATTTTGAAGAAAATGAAAGCTTTAACTGTAGTGGTGTCTAAGCCAAGAAAGGTATAAATGAAATTTATTCACATGACCCAATGAGCAATTACATGCATGTTACCTGTGATTTTTAATTGTGGGAAATAGTCTATAAGTATCTTTTTTCAGAACATGTAAACATGTGAGAATTAGATGTACAGTTCAAACTGGTCATTCCTGCTTTTACTAATTTTGAATATATTATCTTTGATTATCCTTAACAATCTTACAAATACATATAATTGGAGTTCTTGTCTAAGGTGAGATGCCATGTACAAAAGTTCAGTAACTACATCCACCCATGGTTTTAAATATTGTGTCTTTAGTTTGTATTCATGTAAGCTTTATATTTAGTGCCAAAAGGTTATTCCAATTGATTTTTCTTTTTCTTGCAGCTTTGGATCTTCAGTTTAATCAGTGATCATAATTATCGTTGTGTAGCACATATCAACTTAAAGAAAGAGCAAGAGAAATTCTGTAATAAAGTGTGGAAATCTGGCAAAGAAATAGGTAGCACAGTGCTCCTAGAATGCTGTTAATGGTGTAGTCTCGTTACTGGCTACTGAGTGTGTGCTTTTTTTACCATGAAAATTTAGTATAAGTGATAGACTTGTGAGTATTAGACTGTGGCATGGACTGAAGCTCGTATGTAGTTGGGTATTGGTGTGTCTGGAAGGAATTGTGTATGTATGTACGAAATAAATTCTTGGCCAGTGCATTTGTTCATAAAACATTGCATCATGTGCACTATTAAGTATTTGGTTTTTTATTTAATTCATTGTTCAAGGCCTCAGTGAGAACAGAATGAGTGACTAAAAATTAATCCCATGTCAAAAGGGAGTACTATTTCTCAGTTACCTTTGAAGTTTCTAGGATTCTCTTTATTTTTTTTTTCTCTTTTTCATTTTCTTTTTTTTAAAATCTATACTAGTACTTTCATTATATGATATTTCTTTGGCTGTGATATTTCTATAGTGGTATAACACAGAGTATATATAAGTCTTTACAGACTGCCCTGGTAACCCCAGCAGGGTGATTCCCTGATATCAGACTGGCTTGACAGCTTTTTGTTGTGCCTTGTGATGGCCATGAGCAGGTGGCAGCCTTGGTACAATGGGAAGTAATCCTCTCCCTGGTGAGGTGCAGACCCCTGTCCCCTCAGCACTGCTGTGGCTTTCCTGGGGAAAGGGAAATCTGGTTTCCTTTGCTTGTTGTATTTCTGGATCAATGACTGCTATATTCTTACCTGCCTAGGTAGTCCAGCTTCCATAATCTTGAAGTCCTAATTTAAGGAAAAAGACTGCTACATTTCTTGTTATTGTTTAAAATCTATAGATCTGACTTTGATGTTTGAAAGACAGTGATGTAATGTCTGTGTCTAATGCTGAATTTGATGCTAGTAGTTCTTGAGTGTGAGTTACACATGCAGAATGGATTGGAATCCATTCTGCATGTGCAGTTCACATACATTCCCATTGAAAACCTTGGGAACAGGGAACTGAGGTAGATTTTCATCTTGCTTTTGGATTATATTGTAACTTTAGTGTCAAGGGAATTTTCAGGTCAAGTGGAAAAGATACCCAGCATATTTAAGGGTTGCTGGAATGTTGCTTTCAGTGTCACTTCTTGAGATGAAAACACCTAAAATGTGCAAACTCCTTGTCAGTCCATAAGAAAGATCTTTGGATTTCGTATTTTGAAAAAAACCCATGTAATAATGAGGAAAGCTGGCTTTTAGGAAATATGCATCTTTTGAAACAGAAGTTTCTTGAGTGTGGTCTTGTTTTTTTCATGTCTACTACAAATTCTCTCTTGAATCCTTTCTGTTTCCCTCATTTCATAGTTTTTTTGATGGATGGTATTGTTGACTTTCTTAGGTGAAGGGCAAAGTAATTCCAAGCTTTGCAAAACAGACAGGACAAGACCAGAAGGATCAGTGGAAACATCATTGCCTATCCTCTTAATCGAGCATTGTGACTATTTTGTATGTTTCCATAATGAAGAAAACACGTAAGTCCTTTAAAATAGCACCTTATATTTGATTCAAATTTATTTCTAGGAGTTCCTATTGATTCTTGGATTATTTTCACTGCAAATTCATATTTTTTGAAAAACACTATAGGAAAATCAAATAATGTTTTTAGTGGTATACAAGTTTTGGTGGCCTACTCTTAGGAAGATAAGTACACAAGCTGATAATTAAAGCTGGGTTTTCTTCTGAAAAATAATTCCATAAAAATGTCTTTGAGAATATCCATTGTGGAATCTATTGATACCAGCTGATCAGGGAAGATGAGTTAAAAAGTAATTAATAAATCAAATTTATTTTGAGTTTGATTTCCTAAAGAAACATCTGATGCAGCCACTGTGTGACTGTGTCAGTTTGCCTTCCAAATTTAAATAATTTTTGAACTACGTAACCTGCTTCAGTCAAACTTCTGTCAGAGGGACAGATATTTCAGAACATAATGCTTTTACTCATTCCCATGGAATTGGTTAGGCAGGTAGAATTAATCCTTACATTGCATTTCTTTCCTGAAGAGAAGTTTAACCATAGTATCAGGCACCTGGAGATCTATTCCAACAAGAACTGTCCACAAGAACAACCTGTTTGTGTTGTAATTTATGATTGTCACTTGTAGAAATTTATTAGCCACATCATGTTTTAGAAAACCCTTGTCCTAACCTTTGCTCTGTGGTGGGTTATTCAGATGAAACTGATCAGTCTCTGGTTAGATATAAACAACTTTTGACAAACAAAGAAGAAAAATATCCAGAGTCCAGGACAATTTTGGTTACCTTTATGTTAAATTTAAGTAATTATTCACAGTTTTTTTCACGATGCCTGCATATTTAGAGGTACCACCATTGAGAGGAAGGAAGTGGTGATTTTTAACATGCACATCTCGGGCATACTTTAATGCAGTGACAACACTTGAAGGTCAGATGATGAATTATTACAGTCTGTCATATTGCTTGTATAATACCACTCTCAAAGTGTCAAAACTTTGTCTTCATCACAGCTGTAGGTTTGATTTGAACACATCTTTAAACATGACAAGTTTTCTGGCGACAAAGAATCCACCATGTCCCTATTGAAGTTGTTCCAGGAACTGACTAGTTCGATTTTATTTCCAGTCTCAAATACTCTCTTTTCATATACTGGTTTTTAGTATGTTTTTTACTCTGATGGTCCAGTGCTAGCCACTATGAAGTTCCCTCCTTGGACAGTAAATTACAGCTCATGAACAAGTTACCTCTGCACTTCTGGATAAAATAGTTTGTACCTTGTAGAAGGCATGCTTTGTGTAACATTTTTAACATTTGCTTTTGAAAATTTCTGAAATTCAATCTCATTTATTTTTCAATCTCCTTTTGGGACATGATTGCCTGAAATGGATCCAAAGTAATAGATTATTTGAAATAATTTTCTGAATTGAGATAACATCACTCCCCCATACCCACCTGTTACCGCTTTGCATTGTACATCTAAGATCTATTTGTTCTTTCAGCTATCACATTTCAGTTGAAGGTTTTGTTCTGCTTATAAACAACCATGGCCATTAAATTCTTACTACTAATTCAATTCCATTATATTTTTACTTGAGATTTTGTGTTTATAATTTTTTTTCTATTTATTTTTTAATAGCCATTTGTTGGTTTTAGGAGGTGCTTCAGATTTGTCTGAACAGTTGAGCAATCCCTGATATATTGCTTTTCCTGCCTTCAATAAAAAGCAACAATGAAACATTTTTGGAACACTTCTGTCCAAAATTAGGCATCTCACACTTTCATAAGCTTTTTGACATTGAGCAATCTCATCACAATGGATTTTATTATTGGAAAGTGAGAATGAGTTAAACTTTTTGGATATATCACTTTATGGTGTTCATAATAGCTTGATAGTGACACTTCTTTATCAATAATTCAAAGAAGTTACAAATTAAACCAGTCTGTTACTGCTGTAATGAAAGTAGTGCAAACCACAAATAAAGCTATTCATATCACATAAAAATATCACAAACCAGAAATGAAACTGTCTATTCCAGTCTGCTTCTTCACATATTTGACTACAAAAATTTGGTTTTTTTTTCCTTTTTCCTTATCCTTACTTCAACTCTTGTGGTCTGTTTTTAAAAAATAAAACTAATAAATCTACTGACTCCTATTTGGAAATTTTATTAAAATGTTGATATAAATTTTTATTTATTGTGGCATAAAAAAATTTTAGTTTTTTGGAGAGTGACAAGAGTTATTTTGTTTCAATTATCTTATGCTTGATAATATATTTCTTCTGTGAGGGTCTTGACTGAATTGTAACCAGTTGGTTTACTCTGTGGTGCTTGCAGAAGCTGGATTTTATTACTCAACTGCAATAGTGCTGCCACCAAGCACAGGCTGAGACAGACATTCCAGACTTGCCTGGGGATTTTTCCCCTCAGTTTGTGCTGGTTTTTCTCTTGTACTTTAATTATGTAAAAACATACATTGAATTTCACTGTGCTTTGTGTGTTGATATGAGTGGTAAAAGTAAACTATAAGTGGCTTTGCCTCTTGGTTTGAATTTTCTCTTTGTGCATACCGTGCTTTTACAACATCTCCCAACTCTTACAAACCACAGTAATTTTTGAAGAAAAGTATTTCCTGTGCAGTTTTAGATGTGCTATGAAGCACTTAAATGAAATCAAGGATGGTGTTCTGCTTTTAGTTTTCAAAACTTCACCATTTTTGCTTGAAACTTTGAGCTACAGGTTTGGAAAAAAAAAAAGCTTTGAATTTAATGTATTTTTTTTTATGTGTGTGCTTTATTATTGTGGTACTGGGACTGGGCAATGAGCATTAAAAAAACCCAACTGCTGTTTGGTGTATGGAAATGAGAAAATCTTCTTTATCCTACTCAAAGATATTTTTCTCCTTGTTTTAACAGATATTCTTCCCAGAATACTTTTTTTTGGATAGGAACGTCTACTGGCTTGTTAATAATTAATTTGGCAAACTTTGAATTAGAAGCTGTTTTATCTTACAGAGGTATGTTTATAAGATATATGATTACACCATAATGTGATTGCTTTTGTTATCTGACAAAAATAGTGTAAGAATTAGGTTGTGAAATAGCAGAATACAATAGAAACCAAATGTTTTTGAAAAATGTTTTTTTTCCTAATAGTTTTTGTATGTTTTCCTGGCCCTGGTGACTTTTTTCAGAAGATGTATTGGCACTAGATCTGTGTAGCTATGAATTTTTATTCAATTTTGCAGTTCATAAGTGTTAAATACAAGAAATGTTATTCTACTCCATTATAATTTGAGGGTAAGATAGAAGTATATTCTCTGAAGACAGTGGATTAGGATCATGTCAAATTAGTATGAGAGATTTTTTTGTGTGTGTCGTAGAGATAGGTTTTTTTCTTCTGAAATGCAGATACTATTTTATAGCACTTTGTTCTTCTTGGTAAAGATTACAGTGACCTCAGCATTCAGATTGCCAGATCATGTGCATTAACAAGGAAGGCAGCTAATGGAAAGGTGAGTATACACTAAGCATTGCTTTAATAAATGTGATTTATTAAATAAAATTTTAAATTATGCTATTTTCAATAAATATTAATTACACATTTTTCTTTATTTAATGTGAATTACACAGTAATTTCTTTGAAGAGGGTTGATTCTTCATTATGGAATCTGCTAGTTTGAAGCTGTCACAGCTTATATACAGTCTAAAGTGATTAATAAGGAAAAGGTGAATTGTTACAGTGTTCAGGGTGTACCTTGAATGTCAAGAATGACTATTGGAGAAGCAGAGGAAATGTTTTAATGGAAAAAAAATAAAGATTGTTATACCTTGTTTTTCAAAAAAATGTTAGGATGTGCTATTTCTGAATCCTTCTAAGGCATCTGTCAAAACTATTTGGGTTGTGAGAAAATTTCTGTTGAAAGCCACTAAAAGTGATTTTAAGAAAATGGAAGGCATTCTTATCTGTATACTCTGTTTTTGATGTTGCAGTTTTACTACAGAAGTAAGCTCAGTCTAGGCTACATATTTAACATAGAAGTCTTTTGCTTTAGAGAAGGATTTTGTTTAAATTCAGCTCTTAGCATGTGCTCATTATGTTGCTGAAGCCAATCTTCCCTGTGTACTTCTTTTCTCACAACTCTTACTGCAGAATTGTCTCTAGTGTAGGTGGTGTTGGAATTTCTGTCACTATTATGTATGTAAGTTTGTTAAAACACATTTAAGCAACATAGGCATATTTTTGAAGGATAGCTTTAAACACTCTACCACTTAATGCTCTTCATGACTAAATCCATTAATATTTTGGACTACTTTTTATAAATTTCAGAAATTTATTTCATTTTTCATTATAAATGCAATATATTTTGAACTTAAATTATGAAGTAAATGGAATGTGGGAATTGCTACAGATTTTATGCTTGATCACCTCGATGTTTGAAGATACGATTGCTGTGTTGGAAGTTAACCTTGCTGCATTGGTGAGAAGTCAGCAAAGTGGTATTCTCCCATGTGGAAATGAGAAAAGTCTATCAGTTATCGCCAGGTACAGAATAATTAAATGTTTTCTCTCCATGTTGGATGATAGATTTTTTTATCTGGCACTAAAGTGCGTCATATGGTTCTCTGCAGTACTACTTGTTGACATGGTTTGATTTTACTTCTTTTCCTATCATGCTTTAGTTGTATAGAGATGGAGAAATCACAGAATCAGAGAATGGGTGAGTTTGGAAGGCACCTCTTCATGTCATCTTGTGCAACCACCCTGCTCAAGCAGAGCCACTTGGAGTAATTTTCCCACCACAATGTCCAAGCAACTTTAGACTATGTCCACCATATTCTAAAGACGGAGAACTACAACCTCTCTGGGCAGCCTATGCCAGTATTCAGTCACCTTCACAGTAAATAAGTGTTTCCCAGTGTTCAGAGAGAACCTCCCGTGTTTCATTTGTTGCACATTGCCTCTTGTCCTGGTGCTGGTTTAGGACACAGAGCCTGGCTCTAGAGCCTGCCTTACAGCCTGTACTGCTGCATGGGCTCATTCCTCCTCTGCTGCAGGACTTTGTCTTTCACCTTGTTGAGCTTCACAAGGTTGCTGTCAGCCCATTTTTACAGACAATAAATGTCTCCCTGGATGACAACACAACCTCTGCTCTTTCAGACACTCCCCTCAGCTCTGAGTCATCAGCAAACATGGTGATGGTACACTCTGCTCCCTTATCCAGATTATTAATGCAGATGTTGAATGGAATTATACCCATGGAATCATATGGAATGCAGTTATAACTTCTGGGTTACTCCGCTGGCTCCTGCTTTCCAACTAGACTTTGAGCCACTGATGATCACAGTCTGGGCCTGGTTGTTCGTCTGGTTTTCAATCCACCTCACTGTGTTCTCATCCAGACCACAGTTCATCAGCTTCTCTGCTCTTATGGTTCTTATGGGAGACAGTGTGGAAAGTCTTACTGAAATCAAAGTAGACAATATGCACTGCTCTCTGCTCATCTGCCAAGCCACTCATTTTGTCACAGAAGTTTATCAAACTGATCAAGCATGACTTCCCCTTGATGTATCCCTGCTGATGTCCCTAGAAATGATTTATGAGAAAATGCTGACATCTTAAAGATGACAAAACCCCTGCAATATACACTGAAGAGCAAATTTCAGTGCTTATAATAAAATCATCAGTTAATATTCACAAAACTGGGATGTAACACGTAAAAGCAATGGTCTGCAAATTGAATCAGGGCCAAGACTTGTCTGTGCTGCTGAGTATCTGAGCTGATAAATGGTCCACTATGCCTAACTTGTTTTCAGTAAATTCTCATTGCTATTGCATGTGTAAACACACACATGCAGATAAATAACTAAAAAGGAGTTTTGACATCTTTTTCTAATCTGACATTTTTGTTCATTGCATTCATTGATCAATTTTTTGTTCTTCACTTTATAACTTAGGTGTACTTTATTGGCAAGTTCTCCATTGTGTAAAGGTTTAAAGAAGAACATGAAAGAACCTTCTAGGAAAACAGTTGGTAAGTGTAAACCAATCCTGAAATTAATAATAAAGTTATATTTTTAGTAACAGTAACTGACTTCTAGCTGACTTGTGCCTAATACAATCAGTATGTTAATTTTTGTTTTAAAAATATATTACATTGTATTTTTACTTCAGTAGGAAGAATTTTACACTTCTATTAATATTTAATATCATACACATGTAATTGTAGTTGAAAACTGTGGTTATAAGTATTTTTATTTTTTCAAAACCCATTGTCTGAGAACTTCCTGTGGATTTTAGAAGTGTTAGAGTATAAAAGGTTTAAATTTTTGTAAGTCATTCTTTTTCCATAGCATGCAGTAAACTTTTCTGTATAATTTGTCATTTCTTTCTTAACTTTGGTTATGATATACACCAAACAAGTGTTTTTATATATTTTATTGTTCTGAATAATCTTCTGCCAATACTGGATGTTTAGGAAATTAATTTTTGTCTCAATATTCTACTGCTTAAAAAAAGAGAAGATCTGACATCCAGTTGCCATTGAACCACTTGTAACTTTTTTGGTTAGCAACAAAAAAGTTAAAAAAATATTTTTAAAAAGTGTTTTTCATCCTCTCCATAAACACTTACTGTGCCCATTAGAATGTCAAAGGTTATATCTCTAGGGATTTATGGTATTTTCAGAGTACATCTACAGGGTTTTAGCTAGAATTCCAGGCTGCCTTGGACAGCCAGCACTGACAACTGTGCTGCCTTTGTTGACATTTCATGATCAGAGAGATGAGTGCTGTAATGAAATCCTTTGGTCTCTTAAGGCTTTTGGTACAGGGAGCTTCTCAGGAAGGGCCTTTTTGTTCCTCATTGCTGCCTAAAGAGAAAGGATACTTAGTGGCTTTTGAAGGGACTTCTACCCTCAGCAGAGGTGAATGTATCCCAATGTATCTGAGTTTTTCCCTGGGAATAGCAACAACATTTCCCACTTTACAATGTTAGTTTAGTTTGTTTCCCGATGGTATGAAACACTCAGTTTGGAGCTGAGGGTGCCCTCTGGGCTTCTTAGCACAGCACTGGGCATGCAGACATTGCCCATGACCTGAGCTCTGTAGGGACACAAATAGATACCCACCAGTCAGCTTGTTAATGATCTTTCAATCCATTCTTTAGTCCAAATATAGGGTGTGAATACATTATAGCTAATGCATACAAAATCTAAAAAGAGGCAGTTAGAAAACACATTTTCTAACTGAAATGCCGAAAAACGTGATTCAGAACAATATTCTTGCTACTTCAACCTTTAAAGAGGTTCCTACTCATCATGGTATTGGAGGAGGGATGTTTTACAATGTAACAGTTCATATATCTTTCCTCTTCTCAGTAATCATTATTTTAGGGTGATTAGGGTGATAGGGTTTTGTAACATAAGGAAACATCAAGTACTTATAATGTGAAAAACTCTCTACTATAACTGAAAAAATATAACGTTAAAAACATTTTGATGTAAATTAAATTGTTTTCCTACAGGAGTGACAAACACGGTGAAGGATAAACCATTGGTTTTCCATAATAAAATTAAGTCATCAGGATATACAGCAGCACCACGGTGAGTAGAAATGTTACTGCTTTCCCTGTCTTATTGGTGTGTGATATTTTTTCCACACAACTATGTAGTCTAATGATTGTGAAATTAATCACCTGTGAAAAACAGTTATGATGTTATAAAAGAAAAAATTTTAAAAACATATTGTAAACCAAAATGTTCACAGCTTCTGGTCATTGGCCAACTTCCTTTTAAAATCCACATTTGGCATCCTGATTCTTTCATCTAGCTAGACTCTTGTTTTTTCAGCTTGCAGAAAGAATTGTCTAAGAACTGTATTTGTATGGATTTTGTCCTTCAGAATGTGCTATTCAACAAATAATTCACAGAAGTCAAGGTCCAAACTCAGGCATTAGAATATTAGACATTTATATTGTCATCAAAGTGTACATTCTTTTATCTATTGACATTACCCACAGATATAAAAAGCAAGAAGGAAATAGAATTGCTTTCATTTGAAAAAGAGGTGTTTCTCCCATGCAAGGTGTAATGTTTCATATAAGAGTGTCTGTTTTCTCTCTCATAGAATGACCATGTTTTCTCCAAATACTAACCTGAAAAAAAAAGAGGTATCAAAGTGGAAGACCAATTGTAAATGGTAGGTAATCTAACAACTGTTAAAGTAGGAACAAATTAAAACAAATTAAACAAATTAAATATGCTTCTGTCATTGAAACTTTTTAGTAAAGGCTGCAACAAGAACTAAAAGGGTTGGTAAATTTGATAGAAAATTTATCATTGCAGCAAGTGATTTGGTTTATCAGACTGTGAATTAAATTTGAGTGCTTCATATAAAAGAAAATATGCATATCTATTTTCTTAGATTTGTGTTGGTAGGAAGAACAGGTGCTAAATATGGTTGGAAGCTGAGTCCCAACATGTTGTTAAGCTGCAGTTCTAGTCTGAAAAGTAACTGAAAGTGGCACAGGGAGAAGTGATTTCAGATCATGTCCCTCATGCACCCCTAAGATCTTGTTACCATGTTACAAACTTATTCCAATGGATATAAGCAGAGTATGTGTAATAGTACAAATTGACCAGTGGAATCTTTATCACTGATCACAAAGAAAAAATGTTTTTCTAAGGGTGGTGTTTTCATGCTAATTTGTGTGGAATGTTAAATGGGGATATTGCACACATTTTTTTCTCTTTACAGTTATATAGAGTCTTTGTTTTATATAATACAATCATGAACGTAAAGAATGATTGATGCCATAATTTTTCTCATTTAAAAAGAGCTGTTGAAGTGTTAAGAAACCCACTTAATAGCTCAAGACTAAACCTTGTATACCTTGCACACATAGAAAGCCTTTACATGAGTACTTCAGATAATTTCAACTTTGGTTTAGCACTGTTTTATATAGGTTAAGCTACTTAGTATTTTAAGTTTTGTGTGGGTTTTTTAGTTAAACTGCTTTTTTGTTAGTCAATATTGCATTTTGTCACAAGGTCTTTGTAAGCAAGATAGAGTTTACAGTATTCTTTAAATACTTTTGATAGCTATGTTACTTAAGAAATTTTTTTTTTGCCAGACTATGTTAATTCTTGGTCTTGTGAATTCACAACTCATTGTGGTAGGAGTAGTTTAAATATGACAATTTAAAATTAATTTGGCTCTTACCTTGGATTTGACAATTGTTTTCCAGCATATTTTTATGTAAAGATGTTTAGAATAGTTCCCAAAGCCACATTTATTTCATAACTGAAATGAAAATGCACTGGTTTATTTATTTTTTTCCTTCTTTTAAGTAAAAATAAAGAATATCCTTTGGAAAATCATCCTCCAATCAAATATGAGAAAGAGATAGCTGTTACTTGTAAACCAACTCCAATTTTTTCTGTTCAATATTCTGGTAAGTACAGGCTTTTAAAAAGTGCAGTTTTGTCAGGGTGCGGAAAGAAATCCAAAATTTGTATGGCATAGTTTCTGAAGACTGGGGATACTGTGGACAAATTCACAGAAAACTTTCTGGCAATACTGCATACTTTATACTGATAATTTTTTATCTTGTAAAACCATGTAAGCTGTTACTACATAGGCATCAGGATTCTATTTCTGATTTTATATCTTGTTTCCTTTTGAATTTATTCCTTGACTTTCCCACTACTACTTGAAAATTAAGAGTTCTTTCACTAAGGAATTTATTTTCTAACACATTTACTTAGTTTCATCAGGGTGTATTAAATACTGGCATTCTGTTTCAAAATACTAATATTTCAATTTATATAAATATTATTCAATTATTATAAATTGAAATATTAAAAAAAGAATTCTTCTGTATGATCCAAAGACAGGCATTTTTCTTAACTGCTCTGGATAAATGACTCTTGCGTTTGGTTTAGTCAATTCCAATATAAGTATGATTAAGCAGAAATCATTTCCTAGATTAGCAATCAAACATTCTGTCATGTATATAATAATGTTAATGTGGACCCTGCAAGGCAAAATATTTTCAAAATATTTAAAAATGTAAATCTTTGTAAGTATTTTGAGGACAAGAACAACTTTCACCCTCAGAAAATAAAAGCAATTAGATGCAATCAGTAACTTTGCTAAAATGTATTCCAGCCATTTCTGCTCCTTAGAGAGTTTTGCTAGTACATTTTAGGTATAAATCTTCTTTTAGTTTGAGGAAGAAACATCTTTTTTCTTTTCTCTCACACACACCCATACATGCACACACAGGCTTAAATAACCACAGTTTATAAAAAAATTTAGATTTTTTTTTTTTGAGTTAAAAAATTTTGTTATTTAGAGAATAAGTCAGGACAAGAAATGAATTAGCCTATAAAATCCAAGCAATTTCTTCAACACTAATTTTGATATTCATACAAAAATCAGCATTAAACATATGAAATGAATATCTGGTTTTTGTTTTGTTGTAGTGACATGCATGATTTTTATGATTAAAAGAAGCAGCATATTAGCTCCTTTTTGCTTTCAGTCATAAATCATTGGGTGCTCTTCTTTATAGGGGATGGAGAGCTGCTGGCTTGTGGCCAGGCTGATAAAACTGTGCTGATATTCAATTCCAATCTCACTGAAGTGCATAATGTTTTTTCAGGTAAATTTTGGAATTAAATTATAAGGGATATAGTATATGGTTGAGTTTGGTCTAAAATGGCATGGATTCCACTTATATCACCCTGATAACAAGAGAGAGGGAGTACTGATGATTCAAGATGTAAAATTTCCTTCTCTGATTGCTTAGTTTTGTCCTAGAATTAAGCTGACTACCAGGTGTCCCCATTTTTCAATTTTTTGTGAGGTAAGAAGTTATCTATGAAATATATATTGAAATCTTCATCTTGATGTATATTACAATAATTAAAGAGAAACAATAAAGGCAATATATTGCAATAATAATACATGTGTATATTGTAGTAGTATATTCTGATAGTTTATTAGCCAAAAATTGACTGTGATGACTTGGCAAAAGATGTGTTTGCTTTGAAATTCCAGGCTTCTAGAGAATAACCATCTAAACAAAGAGGGACTGTTCCTATGAAGAAATCCACAGCTACAGAGGTGTATTCATGTGTAAACATATATGCTTTTAAATGAGTCTTAAACACCAGATTATGTCTAAATTTCTACAGGAACGGTCTGTTAAATTTTTAATAACCATAAATGTTATTACTTTTAATCAGTGCTGCTAAATTAATTTTCTGTGAAAGCACATAATGGAAAATGAATGGTTTTTACTAGCTGACCCAAATAAGTATTAAAATCAGACTACTTAAAAATGTTTTAGATAATTATTTCAAAGTAAATAACTCTGCAACTGATTTATGAAAACAGTTTTTTGTTTTGACTAATTTTCATTATATTTAGTGGAAGAAGTTGTGACAAGTTGTGACATTAAGGAGGCAACATTACTGGAATTGTGCATTATTCTTGTGTGAGGAAATTTATGAAAATATGCCTTGTGGACAAAATAATAGGATCTTTTTCTTCTACAATAGCAAGTTCTTAAGTTTTTCACTGATTTTTTTCATTGACGCCTTTAATAATTTGTGTCTTTTTTGCTTTAATGATGCACAAGTCTGAAAACCAATGTAAACCACATTCTACTATGCATGTAGTCTTTTCAAAAACAACATAAATGTTGAACTGCCAGGTAAAATAAAACATGGGATTAGGAACCACAAAGCATTAGTTGCCTGCTTGTTTCATTTAGATTGCTCTCCTGTGCCATTCAGATTACCATGCAGACGTTTGTTTACTTTCTACTTTTGATGCTCTTGTTTTAGAACTGTCATAATATATGCCTTTATATGAAAAAACATGATCATTATTCTTACTTAGAGCTGCAGTCAGTGGCAATGTAAAATTTTCTTTTTTCCAAGAAATAGAAATTGTATTTATTCTGCTAAATTTTTCAGTTTCAAGGCAGCATTAACATATGAATATTGCTTCTTATCAAAAATCATGGCTTTATAAGCCAGCATCAAAGAATGGTATAACAACAGTCTTTCTGTTAGCCTGATTTATTCAGTCTTGTTCCCTGAAGGGTTCAGTTACAATTTTAAGTAGTTCTTCAGTGGTGACTCTTCAGGTGTCTGTGTCTTGTAGTGAAGTGCAGGTAATGTTGAACAGCTGCAGAGAGTTACAGCCAGCATGGCCTTTCCGAAGAAGTCTTTTTACAAAACCAGCTGCAATTCTTCTCAATGTGCTCCAGGACTGGGGAACCCTGAGTAATGCCTGTTTTGAATTTTACTGGGCTCTTTCAAGCCAGTTGGCATCTCCTTCACTGTGCTTTGGGACTGAGGGGCCTAGAGAGCAGAGATTCTTAAGCTTTTTGTATGGCTCTTCCAATTTTCCAGAACTCAGATTTTCCTAAAGTTTCTCAGGTTCCTTACTACTTTGGAAAACTGTTTTGTATATTCTGTTGTGGTTTTATTTTTTTTTTTTGTTTCTTTGATTGGTTTTGTGCTTTTTTTTTTTTTTTCCTTTAATGCAGATTATTCAAGGATTCCAAATATTTTTAGAAAATCAAAGCCTTTAAATAAAGCTGTGTTGTGAACAAAATAAGAATAATACTTAATAATACTTAATAATACTTAATAATAAGAATAATGTGTATTTGTCCAGTACCTGTTCAGCTTTCTAGTAAAAATTCTACAGCTGATTGGTAACTGGGAATTAAAATATCTTATTTATAAGACTTTTTGTAGACATATGTCTACAAAATGAAATATCTCAGTGGCTGTGATATATTTAATACCCTTCCTGTAATTTAAAGCAAACTATTTTTTAATATAAAACTTCTGTTGACCAAAGATAAAATGTGCACAAGAGGGCAGCATAAGGACTTTGAATGTTTTAAGGCTAGCTGAAATTCATCAAACTTCATCTGACAAATTGCAATAACATGCATCAAAGTCTGTAAAATCTGTCTGGCGTGTTCTTTTTTGATCTTTTTTATCAGCTTCAACATAATGTTAGATCAAAATAGTAATTCTAGCTTTTGAATATTATTTCTGGCTTTTAAAATTTTTTCTTTGTAAGTTTACAGTCTTGTTTTTAACAAGCCATTGAAGTGGCATGCTCATCTTATTTTGAAAAAAAATAACTAGCTCAGTAATAAAAGGTTAATAAATAAAACAAAGCATTTCAACTATTTTTGATGTCTTAAGGGGTTTCCAGACCATGTTTAATAAAAAATTTCATTATTGTATAATACTCAAATTCTTTTTTCAATACCAAGTCCTTGCTTAAATTTAAGTTCAAGGATATTTCTTGAAAGTGCTCTTCCAATAACTTTGAAAAATTAGAGTTGGAATTATATTTTTTTGTTTATTAATGAAACTCACTTTCCTGTGGTTTTTGGTGTAAGAAAATTTTAACAGCTGGTTCACTGTTACCAATTTTAATCCAAACATTTGAAACTGGTACTTAGAATGTATTTTAATGTTGTGCATAATTATATGAAAACAACACAAGTAACTCCAGAGAAATTTATTAATGAAAGAAATGAGCTTTATGATATTTCCATTATTATTTTTATTAGGTCATGATGGTGCAGTTAACTCTGTTGGCTGGAGCCATGACAGGAAGTGGCTAGTTTCTGCATCAGAAGACAGAACTTTAAGGGTCTGGTCAGTCTACAATAAGGAACCTGCCCTAATTCTGGTAATTGGAAACTTCCATTGGTTTGGACACAGAGAACACTGTTTTGCACTTTCATCCACTTCTGTTTTAAAAGTTTTGTAGAAAGAACCAATTTCTAGAGCTACTGAGTGGTGACTCCCACAGATAAAATGATCTGGGTGATCTCCATTGACTCCAAATTAAGTTTTTCTCATGGTAATTTAGGAAAAGAAAAAATAAACCTTGTTTAAAAAAAAACCCTATTGGGTATGTCTGGAAGTTTTGGTTTTATTGTCTGGTCTGTACATTGTATTTTCATTGGCTCAGCTCTGCTTGACTTTAGTCTACTCCCCAATTAAAAAAGAAATTCAGTATATGAAGCTAGATTGTATTGGATTCAATTGACTACAGATATACTGCCAGCTAATTTAAGCAGAGTGAAATATTTTCTTTTAGAGTAATAGATGTCAAAAATAAGATGGGCTACTATGTAGTAGTTTAACTTTCTGGCCTATGATCAGGATGACAGGGAGGCTCTGCCTTAACACCAGGAATCTCAGACAAAAAATACTTATTTGAATCCATTCTTAACAAATTCCTTTATGTTTCAGGGGAAAGAGAAGTTCCATAAGACTGTACGCTTTGCACAGTTTTATTTTATAGATACATTTATATTGCTGTGTTGTGGAGCTGAATTTCATCTGCTAAGTTTCCATCTAGATCCCACCAAGGATGACCTAAAACGGTGAGTTCATTTCTCATTAACAGACCAGTGAAAGTACTCATACAGTTTGATATGGGATTTTGTGTGTGGTGAGGTGAGCTGAGGGGGCAAAAATATTACAGTAAATAAAAAACTGAACAAATAGTAAAAGCTAGTTGCAAAATATCTTTGTTTTGAATGGGAGAACAAAAAAATTAAGGCTACAACACTGAATATCACTTAATTGATATTGTGAAGGGTATGTCCTGTCTGTTGAAGATATTAGACAGTATTGGGCTGTATCCTGAGATGGGAAAAACTGGTCTATTTTCCTCATCTACTTCCTTGGCAGTTTTGCTGCTGCACAGAAAAACATACTAAGCACAATCTTAAATGTGTTTAGGAATAGGAGTGCTTTCTTGAATTGAGCCATGTGTAACTTCACTGAAACGTTGAATTGTCAGACGGAATTATATAATAGTTTTCTTCCATAATCTGCTTACGTAGTTTGTTTTACTCATTAATTCTTAGTTTATGGACATATTAATAAACCAATAAAAAGGTAAGCCAAATTGCTACATAAACTTCAATTTCTAAGAGAAGAATGACTGTACAATGTCTAACTCAGCGTGTCCGCAGTACCTGCCTGAATTTTAAAAGAGTTTTAAACTTTGAATTGAACATGTATAGGACATGTAGCAAATGGATTGTGTCAAAAAAACCAAACCAAAACAAAAACTTAAGTATACTAAAATTCCTTTTTTTAAAAAACAATGGGTACTCTTCTATTCCCCTCCCTCCCCTCCCTGTTACTTGATTCAGTTTTGTCATAACTTGTATTTGATGAATCTCAGTTTACTGTTGGTTGATTTGCTTTCTATGTGAAATTCTACCTAAGCCATAGCCTGTGAGGTATTTATTTATCTGTGTAGCAGTCTGCAGTGTAGAAGCAAGGTACTTCAGCCAATTCAAACAATTGTTCTTGCATTTGGGAACAACCTAAACATTTTAATCAGCCTCTTTCAGCAGGGTAAATTGGACCAGAGGAAACTTCATACTGCCTTCATTAGATTGTACCTATTATATCAGTTAGCTTATTTAAAGTTAGCTTGGGTAGGTTACCCAAAAATAGAGATAAATCATTTGCTCTTGAAGTCTAGTGCACTTTATTTTTTAGTTTATTTGAATAAAGTGCTTGTGGAAACTACAAATGTTCTTGGATTAAATTGCAAAACACTGTATATTATGCTCTGCTTCTCCATCACTGCTAAAGCAGCTCTGATGTCCATCTGAAAAGATCAGCAGACCATTGTTAGAGAATAACAATGAAAGGCAAAAACCAAGTCACTAAGCATTTTCCTTTTGAACAGATCTGGCTGACGACCATATTGCTTTTGTCAAATGATTTCAGATTTGAAAACTTTTAGCATTGTTGGAAAGGAACAGTAATGATTCCTACAGAATGTCATGCATGAACTTTTGCACTTTCATGCACACAATGCTAAAGCGCAAGTATAATATTTATTGTTGCACAGGAATTATTTTGGACACTGCAGACAGTGTCCAGAAATGGCTAAAACCCGGTGTATTATCAATGCTGGTTTGCTCTCAAGTCTAAAACACAGCACCATACAAGCCACTATGAAGAAAATTAACTCCACCCCAACCAGATCCAGTGAAGTTGTTATTAACTCTGTATTCCTAAGGTGACTTCTATGAAAATCATGCTCTTCTTGCCCCATATATTCATATCCATATCCATGGAGTTATTTTTTCTGTTTACTGTAAGAATAGATCCATGTTGCCTATGTGGATATATTTCAGTAAACAGAAAGTTCTAATTATATTGAATAACAATACAGTTTTGTGTTATGAAATATAAAAAAAGTCTGAAGCCATTTTAGAGGTTTTGACATGTTTGTCACCTCTGCATGGAGCTGGCAGGTAACCCAAAGGACCTTAAATAGTTCTGTGTGTGTTGGGAAACAAAATGTCTTTGGTAGTGTGTGATCTGCACCTTATTCTCTTCACATCTAAGTAGAAATTATTCTTTCCTCACTGTTTTCTCCTAATTTTCTTCCTAATTGCCCTATCATCAGCACATTAAATTCTACACTGAAACCAGTGGGATATCTGCTTTCTGAACATGGGTACTTTACAGACTTTTTTCTCTTCAACATTTCCAGTATACATACAGGAATGTTTTAGAGTTTCATGTCGAGGAAAGATCAATCTTCTGTATATGAATATCATGGGTTTTTTCATCCATATGAGTTTAGTTACCAAGTTTTTTAATAGAGGTTGACAATAAGGCAAAAGATCTGTTGCTTTAATTTTTAATAATGAAAGAAAGCATTTTGGTTTGTGGTTCAGTGGGAGCTTACTGGTGACTACAAATCGTAACTTATTTCATTAACCGTAGCATTCATTTGATATTATTTGCAGATACAAACAGAGGAGTGTTTGCAAATTGGTACAGAAATTTCCCATGACTTCAACAATGGAGATTACCAGTCTTTCAGCAGTAAATGAGTTCTATTCTTGTATCCTTTTTATTTCTTCTTTTCTTTGTTGTCCTTTGGACTTAATGACATGGACATCAGCCAAAGTAAGTAGCATTTGATTATTTACTACTCCTTTTCTATTAGAGTAAAAAAACTTGAAATTTTTTGTGATGTTAAACTTCATCCTTACACATAAATTTTTAGTGCTGTAAGATTTTTGTTGTTGTTCATAGAGCAATAAATAGAACAGAGTTTATGTATCTATTTATTTATCTGTATTTTTATCTGTCTATATGCTTTTGTTCCTTTAGATAAATTTGACTTTAACACAGAGAACTGTACAGATATTGTACTTACAGCTGGCAGCAACCGAGCATTGGAAGTTTTTGATCTCAATGCAGGCTGCAGCGCAGCAGTGATACAGGAAGCTCATGTTAGATCAGTCCATCAGATCTGCCAAAATAAGGTATGTACTTTATTGAATTTTATTTGTAGTACCACTAGAACATCAACAACAAAGAAATCAGAGGCTAAAAGTAGAATTGATAGTAACTGACAAGTTTTTATACGTTTGGGAGGATGGGCAAGAACATGAGTCTGTGTGGTAGGTCCATACAAATTTCATTTGTTCTCTAGTGTAAAGGAGGGAGCAGTGAGGCTGATTGAATGATCTTGCTATTAGAGAAGTGTTTATTATCTTTTGCATTACTTGTGCTAGACTGTAATACTGTAGTTCAACAGGAATTTTTTCTTATGTAAGTGTTCTCTTCAGGAGCTCAATCTGACACTGTGTGATTTATTCTGAAACTTTGGAAACAGCAAACAAACAAAAAAAAAAATTCTCATTACTACCATAGAAGAGATGACTTAAAACCCCTCATCCTTGCTCTTATTTTTTCCTTGAAGACAGATTTGAGTGTTTGTAGTTTTTATAGTACCATATGTTCTGGAATGCCTGCTGTGTTAGGTCTGGTTGAATGTGGTGCTTCATTCCCGGTTGGAAAGTCCTTGCTTCTGTGGGTTTAAAACAGTTCCTTGTTATTGCTGTTGTAGAACTCTTTGTGGGCTTTCCTTATAGATGTGATCTGGTAAAACACTTAAAACTGTGCTAACTATTTCAGTACTGTTTGTAATGCATAGAGGCTTAAAATTCTGGCTTTTCTTTTTGCTGGGTCAGCTTAGGTATTTAATCATGAAAGACTTTAAAGCTGTGGGCAAGTAATCACTTGGGAAAAAAACCTAGTTGTATGTGGTATAGCAAAGAAAACTGACCATTTTGGAGGACAATTATGCATCAAGGTTCTCTATTTTTTCTCAGTTATATAAAACTAGTACTTAAGATGAATCAATAGGAAAATTACACATCGACTATTTTATTACGTTGGATAGTTTAAAGTTATTAGAGCAAATATAATTTGCATTTTCTTTAAGACGATATGCTAAAATATTTTATAGACATAAATATATGCAGAATGCTGTGTACAAACTACATCCCGCTTAAAGTATGAAACACACTGGAATCTAAGATTCTCTAGTGATGAGACATGATTCAGTGGAAACAAATCTGTGGAGAGAAACAGTTCATGCTGAAGATCCAGTGCCTTCACCCCAAAATTTATGAAGCCTTTCCTTTGGGCTATTCATAGTCTCATTGTGCAAACTAAATACTCATTTGTGATGGCTGTATATATATTCTTGAAGTGCATTTTCTAGTTTAGATTAATGCAAATCAGTTCTCATGTTCCAAGACCGTTTTCTAATTCCACCTGGACAATAGTAAGTGGGCATAATCATTAAATTTACTCTTTAAATGAATGAAAAAGAAAACCCATTTTGAGGGTCTTGGGAGACAATAGGGAAAGTATGTTCCAATTAAATGTGGGAGAAACCTGTTAGAAAATTATAAAATACATGGAATATCCTAGAAACCTAGATGATCAGCATGAGATACTCTTATTTTTGATTTTAGACAGAAACAGCTGTAGCAAGTATATATAATTAGCCGTGTAATTACTTTGATTTTAAATTGTTCTTTTGATCTGTTCTAGAGATTGTTTGCAATTGCCAGTGTGTGAAATACATTTCAACCTGTGCCGTGTGGATTAAACTTATAACAGTCCGTTGCTTTTTATACTAAATTTTAAGAGACATTGTAAAATGAATTTTTGATTGAAATATCAAAATCATCTTCCTATCTTAGAGTTTAGGAACATCTGATATATTGAAATAGATGGCAACTTGAGACCAGACCACAAAGTTCAGAGCTTCAGTGTTAATAATATGTTTGTAATGCTGCAAAACATAATCTTTCAACAGGAATCAGTCATAGTGAGCCACAAATATTTGGATGATATTATGTTCTGCTAGCACAGTTATAGAGTACACTCATTTTCACAGAAACAGCAAAATTTTCAGTTTTCTGTTCAGACCGTTTTGTTTCAAAATTCATCAGTCCATTAGTTAAGAACTCTGCTTGATGTGAAGACTGGAAAATGTAATGGGTAACTGGAAAGTTTCAGTCAGTTAACATTTTCCTAACCATAGTTACAATGTTGGCAAAAGTATAAGAGCACCAGAAGATATGGAGTGCTTTCCTATATGTCTTTTGATTGATGCCTTTAGCATAAGCCAGCTGCACTCCTTGGATAACATAAATGGTGCTGATACAGAATTAGTGAAGGAAAGAGGGATTCTGTAGAACCATATCCTCCTTGAGGCCAAATTTTATGTGAAGGTTGCAATGTAGTTAATCTAGAGAGAAGCTGAGAAGGGATTACAGTGGAGGGATTATAGGAGGCTGATGGGGCAGATGAAAGGGATTTGTCTATCAGAATGAAAGGATAGTTTCAAGAGTGTGGGGAATATGCTACATTTTGCATCAGATTCTCATGAACAATAGATTATCATAAATTGATGGACTATAGAAAACACAAAGTGTTTCAAATTCAAATTCGGAAAGTGATTGCATATTATCCCAACTAGTATATATTTTCTTGTCTTCTATATCAATATTTAGTAGCAAATGTAGTTTGAAGATACAAGTGATCACACTTCTTACCTTTAGTTTTTTACTGTATTCTGTGTATTCTATAGTAAAAGAGTAATGCACAAAGTAAATATTTATGCATCTGAAGAACTTTTTAATTTGGACTCTGTGACCAGTGCTGACTGAAGCAAAGGATGGCGAGCAAAAATTTCAAAATTTCAAAAGCACCAAATAGGGTTCTCTGTAACTTTTAATGGATATTGTCCTTTGGACTACTACCATCTTTGTCTTTTGCATTTTTTTTTTTTTAATTTTTTTTATGGTTATCCAGAGCTAATGTGAGAATGTGTAGACTTTTCTGGGAAATGTGTTGCACAGTACATTTTAATTCATCTCTTATAGCAAGCTATGAACCAGCTTTCATAATGAATAGAAGATTCCTGGCAGTCAAATACTGATTGCAGGAAATTACCTTGAGGTTTCTGTAATGTATTCAGCCAAATCAAGAAAGGGAATGGTAAGGAAAGGAAAGGAAATGTTTTAACTGTTTCAATTTGGTTCCCTGGAGAAAGAAGTTTTTAGCCAGCCAAAAGGCTGGGATTTGCCAATGTGGATGTTAAAATATCAGAGGTTTTAAACTGGATTTAATTATTTAAAAGTATGAAGCCAAAATTAGTCTTGTGATGAATGAATACAATTGCTACTGAAGTCAATGGAAATTAGATGCATAGCCCAGGGATAACCATGTCTTATAATTAATTGTTGAACTAACCTCTGCTCCCTCCCTTCCACTGTCCTTATTTTCTTCCCTGAACATCCCCATAATGTCTTGTACAATCACAAATAGATCTTCCTCTGCTTCATGTGATGGATCCCATACCCTGATTTTAGTAATCCTCATCAGTCTGTGAGATGCCCCAGACAGCCTGTCTCACTGAGCATCCTGGTGGGTGTCGCCCCTGGACCAAAGGGATCATGGCTGTCCTGGGACAGCACTGAGAAGAGTCGAGGCTGTGCTCCATTTCTCTGACTGGGTTATGGGACTTCCTCCACATGCACACTTTCCTCTTTGCTCCTTTGCATGTGTGCAGGCAAGCTTCTTTTTCACATAACCTAACAAATAGTTGCTGTATATTTCTTAGATGGACTAAATTCTCCACTGAGAGGGTGGTTGGTCACTGGACCAGATTCCCCAGGGAAGTGGTCCCAGCATCAAGCTTTTCAGAGCTCAAGGAGCATCTGGACAATGCTTTTAATCATATGGCATAATTCTGCAAGGAGCAGGGAATTGGACTCAATTATTTCTATGGATCTCTTCCATCTCAAGATATTCTATGATTCTATAAATAATGCCATGAGAATAGTTACCTGAAACTGATTTATTGTTTTACAGGGATCGTCCTTCAGTGCTCAGCAACCTGAAGCTTACAACCTTTTCCTGACCACAGCTGCGGGTGATGGCATCAAACTGTGGGATTTAAGAACACTGAGGTAAGAATGAATTAGGTACCTTGGAATAAAAAGCCATGCTTCATCTTTATTCAGAATTGTCATACTTGCTCTCATATACCAGAGGAAATTTAGATGTGGATTCTGAACTACAGGCTAATTGAAGTTTAATAGTTTCTAGAGACCAAACAAAGGGCTCATTCCTCAATTATAGTTAGTTATATGGAAACCATTAAATATTTATCGCCTGTTTACCCACCTTTGCAGATCTAATCATATGTATATAATAATGCACTGAACTGAATGCTAATGGTAATTCCAAAACAGCATGCCATTATTGCTAAAAGAAGTAAAATCTATGATCTATTTTTAAAAATATAAGCCAACTGCAGCAACATTTTTATAAACCATGTATACAGTGCTATAAATTTGCGTGATACATTACCATAAACTCAGAATTAAATGCTACACTGTTGCTAAACACCTTTCAGTGTTGGGAAAGCCTCTGAACAAAGGAATAGACATAAAGGAGGGAACATTGCTCAGGAAGAGTAATATCTGGGGCAAGCTGTGTTGTGCAGGCCAAAAGAATTATGTTTAAAAGAAAAGGGGTTTGGACAGGAGAATGTTTAAGCTTTAAAGAACAATTTCCTATTTGTTTTCTGTGTATGTAAACATATCTATGGAAATATGTCCTATAATTTTTCTAGTACTGAATTTTATATTTGGGCAATGCTTAATGAGCCTTTTATTTATTTCCATCTTTCTGTGGCAAGAATGCATTAAATCTATAGGGGGCATATGTGTTCTTTCCAAGATCACTGCGCTATTACCTTCACTCAATGCCAGAAAGTAATGAAACTAGAGACTGCTGAGGTTGGAATATGTTACCTTCTTATGTTTTTCTAATAAGCTGCTCAAACTGTGTTGCTGAAGAGTAATGAAAAAGTAGAAAGCTTTTCACAGATCACTTATCTGTCTCTTTGTTTCTAAATTCTAATATAAGTAAAGTCAGTGAATGGTAAAATAGTTAAAGTGTAAAATCTGGGCAATCAATTAAATGAATATGTCTTGAGAAGAAGGAACTAATTTATGTATGTTCTTGCTGTATATTTAATTTGGCTGGGTCAGTGTATTCTAATGTCCGCTGTGTTCTATTAGTCAAGCTGCAAAAAAGTAGTTCAAGTCCTTAATGAGAGAGATTTTAAGGGTGCCGGTGAGATACTATGTATATGTGTATATTTGTTACACATTACACAGTGATCAGTACAGAGAATAAATAGAAAAAATAAATAATTGTTTTTTACTTGCTAGCAATTTTCAAGAAAAAAAAAAAGAGCAAACCACATTTTTTTAAATTAAATTTGCTGCCATTGCTCAGACCAGAGACCGAGTATTCTGTACTTTAAAATCTGTTCCTGAGTTCTCAAAAGGAGTAAAACTGTTCAGTTTTTCCTATGTGTTCACCAGGTGTTTTTCACATAAATAAATTTAAAATGTCTACATTTGGAAAGCTCTGTTTGAACTTGGAACAAGTCTCTGCTGAAGTGTTAGGTCTACTATAGTTACACAGACTGAACAGTTTTGCTTATTTTTCTGTTCATAGGTTTTTTCCAATCAAATCCAGTCCATCCCTTGCACTGTTGAGTACTTACAGGAGAGATTAGCTCCTAAACAACCTTATGGTGGGCCAGTACCTTTAATCTCTGAAAGCTGTTGATTTGTAAAGTTGGTGCATCAACAACTGTTTCCAGTCCCTCTGGAATGACCTGTCTTGGTTTCTGCTTTGGGTTTGCCAGAATAGGGTTTGTTTAGTGAAATCTTTGTCCAGTGTTCTTGAAATATAGCAAAGGTAAGTCCACCTTCTCATTTATTCTGTTTGCAGTGTTGTGGATAGTACCACTAACTGCAAGATCTCCACTTTATTGTTTGTTGATTTTGTTCTAAATATTTTCACTAGATGTCCACAGTGAAAATTGTTTTGCTTTTCTTTAATCTGGTTGTTGCCCTCGAGAATGTATCCATTGTTACTTTATTTAACAATTCTGTAAAGTACAAAATTTTGATTAAATAAGAGGAAAAAAATCCCTCCAGCACAGTGCTCCTCAAAGCTGCTGTTGAAAGCATGGGAAATAACTTGCAGAATAACTGCACAATTTCCTTAGACTCTTAGGGCTTCTTTTATTCAGTTTCTTTGATGATGGTTCTTTTTTTATATGAAATGCATTCCTTTTCTCACAACTGACTGAGGAATAATAGCAGGATGCTCAGGTTCTTTTTTGATCTGCATAGATTAAATATTCAAACAGGTTAACCTGGCCTATAGCTTTGTAAGCTTTGAATATAATGATATTTTTGCTCCAAGTTCTACAAGAATTTTGCTATCCAACCTGTGTTATCAAACTACAATATTTTTCCCAGTGAAAAGTCATTTAACTTTTCTTATGTTCTTGAAATTATTTTGCAACTTCCGTTTTCATCATATTTTCTGGATAAGGCTGTGAATTTGTCCATCTCTTTCAGTATTGATGGTCTGGAGGCACTCTGAAATTCCTTCAGAGAGTGCCAGAAAGTCTCATGGGTTCCTCTGAAGGTGGTACAAGAAAAGATATTTTAACTTTCTGATGTTTTCAGCCAACCTCACATAGCCAGGTCATCCTGCCAATAAATGAGGGAATCTTGGACACTGCCAGTGGCTTTTGGATTTAAGCATACTCCTGCTCCATTTGCTTTGAAATGCATGGATTTGTAAAGTTTCATCTGAAGATTTTGAATATTTTTATACTTCTACATTCTCCTCATTTATAACTAAAGCTAAGAAAAGCTCCAGACGATCTACAAAACAGACTTAGGAATAAAGAAGCAAGGAAAATAGTTTTTCTTGGAAGAAGAAAAATATGGCTACTCTTCTTCCAGGTTAGGATAATGAACTATGAGTCCTTCTGAATATATGGTTTAGAGTACAATAATGACCTTCGACCAACTTCCAAGACATTTTGAAGAGCAATTTAAGTCCATATTGTCTAAAAGAATGACTACTTGGAGAACAACTAAAATTATTTTCTCTTGTGTCACTGAAAGCAGTGAACACAAGAGTTAGGCTAAGATGCTGTGGAAATCAGAATGAGAACATTACAGTCACCAGGTTCTTCAAGATTCCCAAAAAAATACTTAGAAAAGCATTTAATGATCAGGATGTACAAAAAGTTAATACATTCTTACATTTTTGAAGGAGTTGAAGAGTTCTTTGTGATAAAATCTTGCAGACTCATTCATCTGTAAGACAAAAGAAACTTTACCATTCTTTCTCATACTGGTGTGTGTACTGAATGTATTATTGAATATTAGAGACATCACTACTCTTTCTGAAGTCAGGAATCTAGCACTGATTTATACTCAGCTTTATCTGTTGTCTCCACCAATTAATTTTAATATCTCAGAAAGTCTGGATTGGAATGACACAAGTTTCTGAGTCCTTTAGACCACAGAGTACAGATACATCAGAAAATTCCAATACACTAAGCCTCTTTGTCTGACAGTCCTAACCTGTGTTTAGTGGCTATGCTCATGAAAATATAGGGCAGTGAGATGTACTTTGGCATCCCAGTGCTGTAAAACCAATACACAGAAAGAATGTAGAAACTTAGGAATTAATGAACATTCCATTCCCTTACAGAGTAAACTCATAACAACAGGAAGTATCAGACTAGACTAAGTACCAGATGCTTTAGTATGTTCATGTATCACTTAAATTTCATATGACAATTTTTAATTCTGCTTTACCAGTCTGGATCCTTTCAATTTCTCATGCCCTCCCACTTGTAGATTAGATAATTCTGTGCTTTAAATGTCTACAAAAAAAGAAATTTATTTTATTAATTCTGTTAGGAGGAAACTATAAATTCATTGTGTTGCACTCTTCATTAAATGCATTTAGAATATTGACTAAACACCTAGTAGCACCGTCCGCTTACTACTCACATTTGCTAGTAAATTTACTTGAATACAAATATCTTCATGACTGGCTGATAATGAGGAAAACTGTGTGTCCAGTTTTCTGCAGCTTCTCTTGCATGTTTCATTCCAAGGAATCCATTTCCTCAAGAGAAGTTTTAGAATGTGAAGTAGTGTAAAATTTTCATCCCCAAGACATATTTCAGATTCCCTGTAAAGCTTTTAGGCACTTATGTGGACCCTCCTTGCTCATCAGTAAATTATGGCTAAAGCCGTAATGCAGTAATGCTTCATCCTACTTTGTGTCAGTAATTGTGTGACCTGACTTGACCTCAGATTTTCAGATGCGTCTTTACTGAAGTTACAGGCTGCACTGTGAGGACCCTCACTGCTACACTGGGCCTTAATTGCTCTGACCAGCCCTAGAATCGCACCCATGTGCTCTCTGCTCCTTGCTTCAGGCTGTAGAAGTCTGTAGAAATGAGCTGATAGAAGCCTTATGAAGTTCAGCAAGGGGAAGTGCAAAGTCCTCTTGGCACCAAATGCAACCTCCAGGCCCCAGTATACGCTGAGTGGGGCAACTAGATGGAAGCTTTGCAGAAAAGGATGCCAAGATGAACACGAGCATGAAATGTGTCCTTGAGGCAAAGAAGGTGTATGATGTCCTGGGCTCCATCAGGAAGAGTGTTGCCAGCAGGTTGTGGGTGGTAGTACCTCCCCTCTTTTTAGCATTGGTGAAGCCACACTGGCTCTATGTGAGCAGTGAGGGTTGGATAAGATGACCTCCAGAACTGCCTAACAACCTCAACCATGATGTTGTTTCGTGATTCTATGAAAATAGCGTTTTTTCTTTACTTGCCACAGAACAGGTGTGGGAAACTTGCTGGAGGAGCTGATGTGATATTGAGCAAGAGAGCAAGATGTACAATAACAGCTGAAATTGAAAATTAATTCAGAAGGCAGGAAAGGGACAGCCGTGCTATGCTGTCACACGTGCTGTGCTTATTACCTACCCAGAAATGAAGAGAGTGGGGGGAAGAGTTAGTACAGCCCAATTTGGAAGTCTGGGATGCTGCTTTGGTAGTGTGAGGAGGCAGATGTGGTAGGAGCTAGATTGCTGGTGCAGGTAATAAGAATAGCAGGGACAAGGTGTTAGGAAGAGCTCCCAACACCCAGCACAGTAACATCTATGGTGGCAGGAGCTGCCTGCCTCTGATTCACACTCTGATCAGCTGAGGAATGGAAGTTCAAATGTTGAACTATGATGTTTGCTGCTGAAATCACCTTTTTTCATCTCCAAAAAAAACCAAAAAATAAAAAAGTTAGTGAGTGCTTATCATAGTGACCATAGTGAAGACTTCAGGAATATTGAACTACTTGCACATACTGAATTACTTCAGCAGAATACTCAGCTGCACAATAATGCTTTGATGTATGATCCCAGAGAAAATCAGTTTCACCTTCTTTTAGCCTCTGAAAGAATTTGCCAATTGTATGAAGATAGTATTAGACATTAAGGCAAAATCTCCAAATAGTGTTATGATGCTGTGCAACATAAGCTCTTCTGGCAACATATTTTAGCAAAAGTCCTGCAGCCACAGGGAACTCATCTCCTACATTTTCTCACAATTGCACTTTGAGACCTTGGGGTCAGACATGCTGTTTGAATTTTGAGATACTTTTCAGTTTGTATCTTCTCTGTGAACTAGCTGCTTGACATCATCCTAAGAAAGATATAAATATACACATACTTAGAAATGGATTACTTCTTGGTTTCTTCTGAACACACGGATCCAATGGTTTGCCATATTTATTTTTTTTAATTTTTTTTTTATTTTTCCCTTGAAGATTTTGAGTCTAGTTATCCAGATTCTGAAGGACAAAAGCATGTCTGGAGTTCCTCCAAGTTTGGGACTGGAGGTGCATGAAAGTATAGAGGATGGAGAGCACAGGGATGTGGTCCCTGCTGGATGCTATGGTGAAAACATTGGGAGCTCCTGTGTGAAGGGTTTGGTGTTTCAATGAAATGAAACCCACGTGTACAGTATATCTAAGGTAGCTACTACTACTGTCAAGTTATACTCACATTTTTCAGAGCCTTAGTAGATCTGCTGGTACTGAAGAGTCTGTGAACAAATACAATTGAGTACAGGCACAAAGTAACAGAAAACAAATGAAAGTGGTTTAAAAAAAACAAAAAGCAACAATCTTTTGTTAGCAGGTTTGCTTTTTTTTAATGCATCAAGTAGAATGAAATAGACTTCTTTGTGAGAGTATTCTCTTATTTATAAGGAGACACACATTCCAGTATCTTTCTCTTCCAAAGACAGAAAAAAAAATAGTACAGTTTTTATAATATTATTCATGGTTTTTTGCAACATAAAAAGATACATATTTTGTAATGTAGACTAAAAGATGTACGATGGAGAACATAGAGAAAACTTGGCTGTTTGCTGTCCCATGCAATTACCAGATGTTTGTCATGGTAACCCCTGAAAAGCTCTGATCAGAAAAGCATTCTTAGGAGGCTGGAGAGCATGCCAGCTGGCAACGTAAAGCCTGCAATAGCCAAAATAATATGGATCACCACCTGTTGCTACTTTAAAAATAGAATGAAAGAAACAATGCCTGAAAGAAGACAATCCCTAAAATAAGCTAAAATCACACACATAGTATCTATCTAATAATTCTATGATTTTTTGTCCACTTTTTTCCCCATTGCTGTGATACCTGTAGATATCTGGAGTTATTAGATTGAGTAACAAAATTTTTACTTAATTCTGTGGCAAGTTTAATTGGTATCAGTTGTTTGGTTTTTTTAAAATTTCTTTTTAAAGTAGGATTTTGAGAAGTTGGGGAAGTAGCTGAATTTGTAATGAAACATATATCCTGATATAATGGAAAAGTTGAACCAGAAAACAATTAAGAAAATAGAATCCAAGATATTGGTTATTCCTGTGGCTGCACTAGCACAAGAAAAGGACACTATCCTGTGACTATTATATACTACTTTATACTACTTTATACAAAGTATATACTACTTTATATATAGTATATATATATACTTTATACTACTGCAGTATAGCAGAGAAAAGATCAGTGAAAACATTAGAATCTTGTTAGTTCTTCTGTTAGTTCTATAGGTGAAAATATTCAAGTTATAGGTGAAATATTCAAGTTATTGGTCACAAACACAGAGGAGTTTCTTTTGAGAGAAAGCTTTTTGCAGTGTTTTATTAGGAAGCTCTTCTGTGAAGAAGACTCCATTGGGGAAATTATCTTTTACAGGCCTTGACAATGAGGTCTTAAACATTTGGAAGTAGTCCTGATGACTAGTGCTCTACTTAAGGAAGAATGGTGAACCTGAAGTCACCTTCAGGAGGGACAGCAGATATGAATTTTGTTTTTTTTTCTCATGAAGAAATTTCTTTCACATGATATGATGTATTACAAGTATAAGGTTAAAAAGAATTTTTTTTCCTATAATACTCTATGAAAAAGCACTTGGAAGAAGTTGTCTCCCTAAAATTTGCAAACAGTGCAACTGGGACTCAAGGCTAAGTTGTAGGAGTTGGATGTAGGATGAATAATGTTGTGTGGAAGCTAACTGAGGAGGAAAATGCTGAGGAGACTGAGGTAGCTAGTATTCTCCTTTGGTGTCAATAGAAAGCTTGAACAAGGGCAGGTTATTCAGTAGACGAGATGTGGTCATTGGTTATCAAAAGTGAATATTCACGTAACAAAACTGAAGTTGAAAAATGTTTTTACATCTTCGTCACAGTAATTGGCTGTCTGCATAAGTTGCTTCTCTTGAACTGTAGTGTTCTCTTGAGATATTTTAGCAGTTTGGGGATAGAATTTGTCTGAGGTGAAGTGTCTGGTTACTGTGTGCTCAAAATGTTTGTTAATATCACTAGTTTTGTTATACAGAATACAGTCAAGTTCAGAGTTAAATAATAATTCTGAAAAAGTTAAATAAAATTATGTATTTTCATGTACTTAAAAATGTCTCTTTTATGCTTTAATAAACAATAGCAATTAGATCAGTCACAAAGTAATGTTTTTGTTTAAGTATGTCTGTTTCAACCTGGGCAAATGAAACCAACTTGGCATTTAGTGCATTCTTACACATACATGCATGTCTACAACAGAACAATATGGTATAAAAATGTAGAGCTTTCTGCACATAGGTTCACTTGACTGAATTTACATAGCTTCTGTGATTTCACTGGCCAGGAAAAAGTGTATATCACAGGAGTTGGCAGGAGATTTTACCACTTCAAATTTGTTCCTGGACTTAGCATGTATTAAAAAAAATGAAGAGTATATGACATCTGCATTATGGTGAAGTATGTGAATTTGCTTTGTAAGAAGGGTAGGTTGACAGCATTCATAAAAAGGACAAAAGAAGAATATAGCTTATTATAAGTCTGTTTTAAAATAATACCTCAAAGGCATAAACTTCTGAAATGAGGTATACATATGTAAATTACAGCTCTGAATGGTGTTGAAACTTGTATTAAAATGTCTTTTAATATTGAGGAAACTCTAAATATTGTTTTAACATTAGTTTTGTGGTAACTGCAAAGCTATCATGGTTCTTTACAACCATGTGGTGTTTTTTAGGTGGATATTAATCTTCATCTCATGAAAAATATTATTTTTAAATGGCCCAAGTGTGCTCAGCTATTTAAAACTTACTCTACAATGCTTGCAATATTAACATGAAAAGTAGAAAATTTACTCCTTGCATTAATTTTAAATCCATTCCTTCTTTTAAACTATTTTAACACAGATAGGTAAGAAGTTATCTACAGTTATAGGAAAGAGAGAGAGAGATTTTTCACTTTGTTGTTTGAATATTGTCTTTCTTGACTTACTATATACAATTAATTAATGGAGTAGAAATGTAAATAGGTAACAAAGGTTAAATATTCAGATTTGGGGGTGAAAAAAGCAAGCAATAATTATTTATATTATGATTCCAGATATTGCATCTTCATTTGATATAAATAACTTGAGGGAGATGTATAAATCTTCTTGGAGCAGACTTTGACAACACCTTCCCTTTAGGTAACTGATAGGGATCACAGCTCCTAGTTTCTAATTATTAATGATGTTTCTACCCCTGTAAACTAAACAAGGCCAAAGCATGGGCTTGGTCATTGTCCTGGGGCAGTTTTGTCTGTTAATTTTATTTTTAGTCTTTAATGTTCTTTAATGTCTTTCAGTCTTGACAAAATCATACTGCCAGTATATTAGTGAATTTGTAGACTAAGAAAAACATTAGACCAGGAGGATTTAATGAAAATGACAGTAAAAGAGGTAATTTTTAGCTGGTGTTAATAACACTGAAACTTCTCTGTAGGTGTGAACGTCGTTTTGAGGGGCACAGTAGCCGCTGCTATCCATGTGGAATTGCAGTGTCTCCCTGTGGACGCTTTATAGCCAGTGGATCAGATGACAAATATGTAAGTAATTTTTGCCTGTTTTCCTCCTAAATGATAGGAATTACTCATATTATACCTAAAAGAGTCTTTTCAGAGGATTCTAGGATTCATCTTAATGTGCATTACTGGAGTCTATGATACTTCCATGTAGTTCCTTCATATGTAGCAGTTACATATGATTAATGACTATTTTGTCTGAAAAATCCCAGAGTAGCTAAATCTTAGCATTCAAAGTAATTCTTAAAAGATTGTTTCTATAGGTTTCCATAATTGACTCTAAATTGTCATGTGCCATCAAAGATGAGGAGAATGGTGTTCCCTGTAGCTCAGCTTTATGTGTTGTATGACCACTAGGAACTCTGTAGCAAATACAAATCAATTTACTTAAGCTCCCAAATACAGGATGATGAATCTTTTAATATGGCTTTCTTATGAACCAATCAGCTGAATAAAAAATGAGAAGTCATTCAACTGTAATTAGAACTTCCCAGACCTTTTGTGTATGCATTTTCTCCCCAGACAGATTCTCTTCTGAATTAATGTCAATCATATTTAAATTATTTAGAAATTAATCCTGAGTGAAAGGTATTGCTACCTTTTTGAGTTTTTGAATTTTAATTCAGTAATGCCTCCATTGTTGGCATAATGTTTTTCTTGCTGTTTGTGAAGAGGTGGATGATTGCTAACTTGTACTATAGGCCTTTGAAACTGGACTGGGGTCAGGTTGATTGCAAACACATCCTTTCAAAACAGCTGGGTAGGAATGCTGTTTAAATTTATTTTAGGTATTTCTAGGTTAATCGTCAGAATATGACACAGGGTTTCTGGTCAACTTCAAATTCAGAGCAAGAGGAATTTACTCCTCTGTCTAGGTTTGAAATACTGACTCAAATAATGTGTGAAGGTTAGAGATTTTATTGGCAGATTGCTGGATGTTTGGCAATAGGTATTGTGTTCTTGAAATTTTTATGATAAAACATATTTTTCAAATTTCTGGTAAATAGCATTTCAAAATGTGGCTTGCAATACAAAAGAAGGGCTTTTTACTTTGTGAAAAAATGCATCTAATATTCTTCTCAGGTCATGATATGTATGATATACTAACATATTTATTAGAGGTTACTAATTAAAGTTGCTTTTGAATCATATAAAAATAGGTGCAGTCACAAGACCTTTTTGTCTTCTCTTTTGCATTAAGTATTTGTTTGGAATTAGTGCTGAAAGAAGAAAAAAAGACAGCATGATTTTATCCTTACTCTAAATTCTTGTCATGTGGTGGGTCATCAAAGGAAGCTGAATAGCTGGCATGCGTCCTGCTCCAGTTGGCATGTGGTTCCTGGAGGGCACAGTGCCAGTCAATACTTTTTAGTGTGGCTCCTGGGTTGGAATTTTGCATAATTTGAATCCTATGTCTGTAGAGAACTTTCATTGTTCTTCTTGTCCCCTCAGGAGAACTGAGTCAAGGTTTGGACTCTTGCTTATACTGTACTGTAAAGACAAAATGCAGTTTTGGGGCATTTTTTAGGAGGCTTCCCTTTGAAGTGTTGAGACTGGATATACTTTTGTGCTTCCTTTTGAAACAGAAAATTGAACGTGGCACTGAATAGTCCATTCATATTTTTCCACTAATAACATCCTGATAGATGGCTTAATGTGTGACTGGGACAGTTTTAATAGTATCAAGAAGTCACATATTTCTGAAGGTTATAATGAATGAATGAATGTCTACTGAAATAAGCTTCATAAAAATCAATAGTGTGGATACAAAGCATTATCTTCAAGAGAAGCACTCTGAAAATAGGTTTTGTAGCTTTCCACTGAGAAGCAACTGCTTCTTCAGTCATCTTGGAGTTTACTTTGTCAAGTGCAATTCTTGCACCCTGTAGTTAACAAATGTGATTCATTTTAAAGCCAAAAGAGGCATAATTGAAATATAATTGAGAGAAATTGACCTTAAACTGCCTTTTGTATTTCACAATATCTGAAGTATTTGACAGAGAGGAATATGTTGTCTACACTGGTTAATGGCAAAATCACATTCCTACAGGACATGGAAACAGCAAACCAAAATATGTTATTGTAAAAAAGGAGATGAAAATTCTATCTGCCTTTTTTTCTACTGTGAGGGTATATGACCTGTTTTATAGAAGAGTTTGATGTAGTTTGATGTAGTGGCTGAAGTAGCCACTTGGTTTTATTTGAACTGCTCTCAGTGTGAGATTTGTAGACACTGTAAATTGGGGTTGAAAGTGTTTCCATAACTGATTACTCCAACTTCCACTAAAAGAACCTTTACCAAGACCTGTGTAAGACCAGACAGTCTGATCAAGCAGATAACCTGGTTTTGAACTGTGATTGTTCTTTCCATAATTAGTTGTGACTAGAAAATATAGAATGTTAACACTTGCAATATCAAACCTTCTCTACATCCTAAATAGCCTAAGGTTACAATTGAATTTTGCTGACTTTTGCTTAACTGAATACACATAATATTGTAATTTCTAACCATTTTACAAGTGGACAGTCTAAGGTTTCTGACTATCAATTTTATTAAGGATGCTGGACAAATATACTCTAATTTGGTTTAGATTTCCATTTTGCTGGATTCTGTACAAAAATGTTTACCTAAAAATTTGTTGACTAAAGCAATCTTAGTGTAAAAAGAAAAGAAATGTCTGGACAGTGTGAAATGCTACTTTTTATAATAAAAATAACTCATTTTCTTTCTGTGCCATGTAGTTCTAGTTAGCTGTTTTACTTTATGTCTAATTAGGCACTAAATTTTTGTCTTTGAAGACCTTAGGGCTCTCTGAATAAATTCCAAGTTTTCAGAAATGAAGTAGGGAATGAAGGAATAAATATTTATCTCTTTAATAGCTTTCAGACTCTTTCTTATTAGCTGTCTTTGAACTGGAGCCTCTAAGAGGCACATTTTGACCCTAGTGCTGAAATTGGATTTTCTAACATAAAACTCTCTGTCCATGCCAAATCTCAAAGCCTGTGCGCGTAGCTCACACAGATTGACCCATATCACAAACCCAGAAATTTTTCAGCATAGCAGGTTGCTGCATGAATAACAAAAAATACATGGGTAATGTATGAAGTCATCTTCCTTTTTTTTTACACTTTTCAACAAAGTCTAGGATTTTGCTTACAACACTGTCTTTGAAACACATTCTAAATCCAAGATTAAATTCATACCTTCCAACTGTGAAGGCACCAAATCTTGAGGCCTCACAGGGCAGCATCATTGAAAGGAGTAGCAGGAGACAGGATAAAGCAATTTGATTCTTATACATAACATCAGTCTAATAACCATTTGTGAGTCCCTGAATATTAACCTTCATGCAAAATTGATTTTAGAGTAAGTTCTCATTATAAAGTGATGTTGGAAAGGGATGATGGTCTGGGGACATATCCAAAGAGTTTTGCAAACCTGTGAGGGGTGGCTGGATGCAAACCCAGACCTGATATTGTTTTCAGGCTGAGTTATTTTCAGATGCAAGATTCTGCGTCAGGCATAACACAAACTAGAATTTGTTTACAGTTGACACCTTAGTTTAAGTAGCTACAGAGATTGATATTCCAAATAAAATATCAGTGTGCTGAGCAATATGCTATAATGTTTTACTACCAGAAAAATACATTTGGAGGTTGGGCTGCCAGTTCTGTGCATCTGCTCCTCTTGCACTGCACTGCTTCCTAATATAATCATTGCCAAGAAGATTGTATTTCTCAACCCTAACAGATATATTACTAGTCACATTAGTATCTCTGTGGCTCAGTTCTAATTTATAAAATGGAGACTAGCAATGGTATCTTCTCTTCTCTTCTCTTCTCTTCTCTTCTCTTCTCTTCTCTTCTCTTCTCTTCTCTTCTCTTCTCTTCTCTTCTCTTCTCTTCTCTTCTCTTCTCTTCTCTTCTCTTCTCTTCTCTTCTCTTCTCTTCTCTTCTCTTCTCTTCTCTTCTCTTCTCTTCTCTTCTCTTCTCTTCTCTTCTCTTCTCTTCTCTTCTCTTCTCTTCTCTTCTCTTCTCTTCTCTTCTCT